CTTAATGAATTCACGTCCGCACGTGCTACCGCATACGACTCTCAGTGCGAAATGAGATTATTCTAATTAACTTCTAATCTACCCTGCAGCCCGTTCTTACAGTTATTAGAAACGATAGAGACATGACTTTGCTTCGTTGTCCAGCCATGCTTTGCGTTACGCTCTTACGACTGCGTGGGATTGCAGAGACGCGTTACGTAACGTAGATCAGGCAACGGTGTGCGAGTTAAGCCTCCGCAGGGCTCGGATATAAGGACGAGTGTAAAATCTTATATGTAGTGCCAAACAAGAATTGAATGTAAAAAGAAAAAGGAAAGAAAATAAAAAAGAGAGTGGAGTTAGAAATTGACGAAGAAATGTATACGAGAAATGAAGGGAAACGAGAGAAATATAAAATATGAAACGGGAAGCCAAACCGCACCGGACGTGTGGACAGTGTCGACAGTCGGGCCACGAATCGATCGCCGTCCGCTACCACTGAGGCCGAACGCGATATTGAATTTCGTCCTGGAGCAAGTAAGGCGTTTCTAGAGATTCAAGTTTCCATATGGGAAACGTCGCAGAGGCTCATGTAGTTGCTTAAACGTTGCTTAAACGTTTTTCCATCGAGCTCATTGTTCCATCTTCGACTGATTAACAGCTCCTCCCATTGTCGTCTTGACTCCGTTCGTTAAAAGTGCAACAAGAGACACGCAAGCAACAGAACTTCCCTTTGCTCTTGAGCCACTAACGCTACACGATGCGTAATTGCCCACGGCTGGCTGAACACCTACACAACCTACGTTCCGTCGACGTGAACAGTCTTCACAGGGGAACATCGTACTATCGTTCGGCCATTCCTCTTACTTCTTTATCGAGCTCTCAATGCTCGTGTGAAAACGTACAATTTGCCAGGCTTCAAAAGCGACCGTCGTTTATCCGTCGCTCGAGTGTCAAAGGAATTCCGCGGAAATTAGGCCGATAGTCCATCAAGAATTTGCAATCTCGACAGAAGCAATTTCTGCACTTTCGAAACAATGCTTGCAATTTGATAATTGAATAAAGGCATTAATCAGCAAGAGAGAGACGGAGAGAGAGAGAGAGAGAGAGAGAGAGAGAGAGAGAGATATTAATTCCTTATTGTACTTAACGTAATGCTTATTGCATAATCATTTTCAATGGGTTTGGATATGGTAAGGGATATTGTGTTCCTTATTATCTTTGGACGGTCATTGTATCCAATGATCATTCGCAATGGGTTGGGCATTACTAAGGGAGCAGAGGAGTGTCTCGATAAATAAAGTTAAGATAGGAAGGGCCCCAACGAAGCGTTCAACGATTTCGTAGGGGAATATTAAGTCCTACTGATTCTACTGTATCGCCTCGCGTCACGCTCTGCTTCTTGCATGTCCATCTCTCTCTCTCTCTCTATATATATATATCACCGTGGGACAAAATAATATTTTATCCATACGACACGTGTCATATCTTCCCTCAAAGATCTAGAACTGTTGAAATTCCCGAAACAAATTTAATAAAAGATCCATGACAGTAGCAAGATTACTTTCTATTTTCGTTGTTTAAAATTATACTTATTTCTTAGTCGACGTACAAGCGACTGTCTAGGCATCGGTAGAGTCCCTCTAGTAAGAGTCCGGCCAACACTCGGAAGGGACGCCATACTAAGGGCTTGTTTGGCGCCACCATGACATTGCGCGAGACTGGGTCGAGTCTCGCGCCAAGTGCAGGCAACCCGCCGTACAGGGCTTAACGCTACCCAGACTACACGATGCGAATCTCTCCCATATACGTATTCACACGCACCATTCTCATTCCGGAAAGAGCCCATAATATGGCGGAGCCAATCACTAACAAGCCCCACAGTTGGCCGGACTCTTACTAGAGGGACTCCAGACATCGGCTCATCGTTGCGCCATCGTTTCCAGTAAACAGTATACATTCTGCTATGGCAAAAACCCCCCTTGCCCAATAGACTGTCCTAAAAGAAACGTGAGGATAAAAACTCCGGGAATTCATTGTTCGCCCGATGATAAAGAGTCGACAAAGGGAAACCCCCTGACTGGGAATGCACGCGAACGTTGCCCTATGATCATTGACTTTTGCGTTGGATATCATAAATAAGTAAAATAATTCGACGTTAATCCGAGCCACTAAAAATACGTGCATAACCTGATACACCTAATGACATGTATAGATTGGTAGCTGATATTCGCACGAATAAAAACATTATGTCATAAAGAAAATAAGTCAAATTGAAATTCATGCTTAACAATCGATGGAACATTGCCCCATGATTATTGAATATTATCCCGAGAACTGTAAAAGATTAAAATAAATTATCGCTAACTCAGTACGTCAATAATGACACGGCAGTGGGTCAATACGAAAGTCAACGATATATAAATACACATTATTCGACATCCCTATAAACAGGAATCACCTATTTAAGATATAAATAAAAACCGTCCAAATCCAAAGTCCGTAATCGATCCCATAGAGTGTAAAACAGCCGCACCGGATATCTCTTATTTCTCATAGTATACCGAGGAGCGTGTGCGCCAGGCCTTAACGAGGTGTTTCGTTGAGCGCAGTCCACGCTTCGCGTCCGTGCCGTGACAATGGAAGTTTTCTACGAGGGTGGAACAGAGAAAAGGGTCGAATGAAAATAGAAGAGAAAAGAGATGAAAAATAAGAACGAGATATAGCTTCGTTACGGGACATAATTAAATCGGCTGTCACGTGCCGGCGGACGTGCACGCGGCTAGTTTTCATACGCAACGAGCGCGTTTCGAGAATTCACCAGAAGTCCTACTTGTGTATAGAATGTGCACACGTATTCGATATATTATACAATGCAAACCTACGTACGCATACTAAACGTATGGGCACGAGCCGACTATACAGGGTGGGACGGAAATCATGGTACGACCGAGGAGAAGGCGATTTCTCATGGAAAGTAAATAGAAATGGCACAATACATTTTTTTCTCGACGAGCTTTCATTTTTAATAAAATAAACTAACGCTCGACTCAAGGAGTCTCGCGAGGGGTACCGTTTCCTTTCAAATTTGTAAACAATGTTACGATTTTAGGTGGTTTAATGGTTTTTATTAATTTACGTATTATTAAAAATTTCGATCTCGTTTCTACATACAAAATTGTGCTCGTCGAATCGGAGATGCGTGGACAGTTTTTACCATATCCTTAAACCACCTTAAGTCCTGACATTGTATAAAAATACAAAAAAAAAATAGTGACTATAGCGAGATCCCTTAAGTCGAGCATTAGTCAAGTGCACGTGGACCCGATGAATTTTGAAAATCGATCGTAAAAATGAAGTCTCCTAGAGACAAAATTTATTGTGCTATTTCGATTTACTTTTCAATGAGGGATCAACGTCTTCTTTGTCGTACCATGATTTTTGCCCCACCCTGTATATATAATGCACGCACACGTGAGAGACTTTTTAACGAAGAGAATTTCGTTCCAGGAGAAGGATCGTCGTCACGCTCTCGTCTAGGCTTCCTCACTGCCATCTTCGGTCAGACACGAAACCTTCGGTCTTTCGCAATCCTCCATACCAACAGTTCCTTTCTCCGCTATGGAACTACACACACACGAGTTAATGTATTTCCTTGCGTTGTAACGTAGGCGGTCAACTTGTCTACCTGGAGTAACAACGAGATAGCCGTTGTAATAGGTAGATATCATTAGACTCTGTGAGTTGACAGGCTATTCTTCGCGATAAGAAAATAACACTTTAGCCAGTGATAATACAGTGTCTGTTCAATAGTTCAAGAATAAGTTAGAAATTGTAGCAGACTCCAATACAAAATAAAATACATATTATCTGATGAATGACACCATACATATTTATAATCTCAGTGTGTAATTGTGGTTTGAGTGGGTAGATACAGTAAAAGTGGGAAGATCGAGAGTGGATCCATATCCTCGAATACCGCATTGCCGTCAGACTTGCCGGCCTGGCCCTGCCAGGTACAAGGGTGTAACACCATTACGACCTCGGATTATTTCAAAGTCTCTGCTCACGCAACACGTAACGAAGTCTTTGGATGACAGAAATAATATTCACAGATGAAATATTTGATAAATAAATGACATCAAATATGAACGACGAATGATCTTGATGGGAGATCATATATGCGTAGTCTAGCTGGTTATTATATTTAGTCAAATAATGGCCTAAGGATCAAGGCCGTGGGTTCGCGTACGAAAGAATTGAAAAAAAAAGTCTTGGTTCGTTGAATACCACGAACAGGTTGGTAAGAACGTCGAACTGAGCATAATGATCGTCCCACTCGATAACTCTCGGCTGCGCACGACAGTATAGTCTAAGGTACACGTGATTCGTCTATACGTAAATTAACGATGATAGCCTAACAATAAGAGTCATTTTCAGATTCGCATATTTAAGGGTGAATATTCTATTTTGTTATCTATATATGAATTTTTGGTAACAATAAATAAAGCACACGCGCGTACACTGTTTACCAGAACGGAAGTAGCTTTAGTTAGGAAAATAGATGGGCTAAAAATTGGCAGGTTTAGAAATGCGTATCGAGCTCAGTGATTATGAGATGTGTCGAAGTGAATTTAAAAGTATTATAATTAGTAAACTCTAAGTAGTGAATGAATGACTTAGAATATTTTCAAAGGCTCGCAAAATATGTATTTCCATTTGCATTTGAAAAAAGCATACCAGCGGGATTTGACGCGTGTCGGTGATACCGGCATGAGACAAGATCACGTGACCGTGACGATATCTGTCCCTGTCACTAAACCGTGACGATTTACAGGTATGAATCGTTAAATTGTAACAATTCTGTACTGTACCATTGTAGAATACAATAACATTTTCTTTAGTGAGGTAATTCCTGAGTCTATTATCGCGTACTGATATTGACTATGCTTGCTATTGATAGCGTGCATAGTGTCAAATGATAGTGCTCCGTTAATAATACAGTGGAAAGCACGTGTCAGTTACTGTATGACGAACATTTTTATTTGTACAAAACCATATGACATGTTTAGATACATCGCCATTTTCTTTTTCATATCGAAAACAATCATAAGGCAACTTCGAGTCGATACGTCAGTTTTATATTTAACATAGCAGAGACCGCATTGACAGGAATCGTAACGCCCAAGTGACCGTTCAGTCGTTCACGAGGAAGCGTCCTGGCCAGGAATCGATACTTGGAAGAACGCTAGGTGCCCTAGTAAAGTAGGTCGTGCAAAAAGTATTACTAGTGATACAGTAGATATTTTTCCCTGAGAAAGATCAAGGTCACCGTACGACAGAAATACATGAGCAAAGCCGGTCCACTGTGTTCGTTTACTACGTTCAGCTTTAAGTCAGATTTACCTGGTAGGTACTCGAGGCGGCCGACGATGCTTGACAGCTTTTTCTTCTAGTCGTAGGTCGAAGATCACCACTTCCTCGTGCTAGATGGCGACGAACCAACGCACTGGTTTGTAACTCGCGAAAATATCCGTCACTACGCAAACACCAGCTCTAAACCGGAGAAGCACGGTAACGTGCTCACAGCGGCATTTTCACTGGCTGTCCCGGCTGGACCCCGTTTTCGTAAACGTTCTCCGCGTATCGAGAGCGTCGAGAACGCATGCGCGTAAACCTGCCTCGCGCACGCGTCAGTGTATACTGACTGTCTTATCAGCCGACCGGTACGTCACCAAGAACAATATTCACGTCTACGCATGCCCACTGGTGGAGCTGTTCCTATGGATAGGACATTGCACAATAGTGGTAAATTGGTGAGAGATCTTTGAAAAGTAGGAAAAGTAGAAAGAAAAAATATAGTCAATCATCATTTCAGACTTTTCTATATAATATTTGCTGACAGATGAGTTTCTTTTTGTATGGTAGAAATATTATAGCTGCTCCGGAACTCTATAATATAAAAGACGTGGAGTCATTAAATACTATATATAGGATTTTTTTCATTTTATTTTTTTGTAGACTTCACGTCGTTGCCAAAAAATATATTTAAGATAATCGTGCGATCACATTTATTGATTTGGTGATTATATGCATGACAATCGGATTCTTTTGAAGTTTGTTATTTGATTTTATTGTCCTTGATTCATATACGTATGTACAACACGTAACTGTCTATTGATGAATGCTGGTCAGGAACTCGCAAATTATTCAGTGAGACGAATATTGATCTGTAATCTGTATTGGATTTTTTCTTTTTCCTTTAAATAGAGAGGGGTGTTTTTTAAAGAGGTTCTGGAATCGCAATCTTTGGCGTATGACCTTCTAACATATCCTGCAGAAGAATACTGATTTCCTGGAAAATGATAATTTCCATTAAGCTGTCCTATCACGGCTGTAGTGAATTTTATAAAAAATCCATCTACTATTAAGAACGAGTACCTCTTCTCTTTGTGATCTCAACCTATCGATAATTGGCTCTTGAAAATTTGGATCATTAGCAGGATCCTCAAGGTTTGATTCTTCCGTTTTGATATCCTGAGGTATACTACCAACGTAAAACTGTTTTATAGTATCGATGATGGCGGCTGGTCTCCCATGTGGTAATTTAAAGTTTATCGAAGAGAAAGAATCGGCCCCAGCTGGCACTACAAGTGGTTTTTCATAATCCAGACACACTCCTTTGCTAAAATAATAAAATCCACTCCTTCATGTTTCCTTTAATTCAAATTGATACTTTAATTACTGGACTCACTTTGGCTGCGTACCAAATCCATACTGAGCCAAGAGATCCTTAGTTCTCCTGATTAACACGGTGTCTCTGGAAGAATGATACTGAAGGCTCGCACCTAAGCAATGAGCTACAGCTCTCAATGTTCTATCAACCAATTGTTTCCTCTCCATATCAAATTCCTATAAAAGTTAAGCTGATGACCTTTTTCACATAAAAAATCACTTGCACTATACCATTGTTTGAAATTACTTTAAATTTATCATATTTTCCACCTAGAATACATAATCGCATCGGAAAGGGATCAACTTCCGTTTCCGTCTCTTTTTTCCTTTCCCTCACTCTTGCATTTTTCATCTCCTCGACAATTCTTGAATCATAACTCATTTTCATGGCACTTCGTGCTACCGTTAGACTTTCGTCAAGCGTAGACCAGAGCGACTGGGGTGTTGATAAATCCAGCATTATCATCAGAGTAACGTGGTGAGGAGAATGCGTGAGAGCTGATCCTAACATTGCTGCAGATACCAAGGATGAGGTTAAATGGCCTATTTCCCAAACGTGGACGACGTCTTTCACCTGGTAAAGTTGACGAAAACGTCAGAATAACGCTTGGACTTAATTTTTACTATCATCGTCTGCTTGCTTACTAAGCTTTTACCGGCTTTTCGTCCAAACGAATAATCCATCGCAATTGTAGGCTTTGGTGTCTCATCCTTTTCCAAAAATCGATAGACCATCGTTGTTTTACCCTAAAATATATTTTTATTATTTATAAATATTAAAATGTCAATGATGCACGCTAAATCATTAACTGCTGGTTTAAGCCAACGATTATCCAGTCATTATGCATTGTATGCATCGATGACTTACCACGGATTTACTGCCTATGATGATAAGTGAACGTTCGTGAGTTTCATTAGGATTCGATTTACGTTTCTCTTCATCCTCTAACGCGAGACGTAGGGCAACTTTTCTCATACTTTCATCTCTAGATAAAAAATATTTTTAAACGAGTACTTAATGCCAGAGACACAAATCTAGTAAAAGCGAAACTTATCGCATTTTGATATGCAAACATTGTAAAAAGTGTGAACTCGACTAGAACTCGATCTTGATAAATTAAAATTAATCATTACGTCAAGAAATACAAAAATATTCATCACTATCAAACATTTTCTGATCATACTATAATTAAACGGTATGGCACAAAATAAATTACAATCTTTAATTACTCACATGTTTTCCAAACTCATTGTAACAATAAGAATAATTTTTTAGCACTAAGTACATACAGTGTAGAACCAAAAAACATGCTATCAGTATCCACGGTTGAAACGAACCCAATACGTTTCTGTTTACTTATCGTCTCCATGGTAACAGTTACGACAAACAGAAGTAGCATTCACAGGGGAGTGGGAGTTACGTTCGAATAAATAAACATTAATTATTTTATATTTGAAACAAAACAACATACTAGATATATTCCTATAACCGCATTAAAAGTCGTTGGATATTAAGTAAATATAATAATAATTATATACGATGATTCAATTCTTTATATGGCTTATTACAATGTCTATGATTTTATAAGATACAATATATTACAACTAAACGCTTGAAATTCTGCATAAATTTCGATTTCGCATGCAGGCCGATCCAACGAAGAGTTCCCAGTCTTGAAAGAGATCTCCGTTAAAGGAGACCTCCAATGAAAATTAGACTTGAGGCAGTCTCGTTACGATATATTTCTTCTAGGGTCCATAAAAGGAACCATTTAAAAGCTTTGTATAATTCGCTCTGTTGGACCATATTTCGCGACGTCATTTTATCGAATATTATACTTGTATAATCGAATAAAGTTAGTGCCTTATCGATTATGTACAATGCGGACTAGACGATGATAATAACGGAATGCTTGATATTCTACTCATTCAATGATCGGTAGTCGCTATGGATGTTGTTACACAACCATTAAATATACAAATCAGCTAATTATTATCTGTCCCGATCATATAACGCTTGTCATTTACAAGATCCGTAACTTCCTCCTTCCCATGCCAGATGGGAATTGCTCAAACAATTTCATATCTCACTGACAATACTCTGTATAGGGTAGATGTACCGTTTGTGGCCTTGTAGCATTTTGGTCACGCTTAACAAAGCTTTCACTAATTTCTGGTAGTATTAAGCTATTACGTTTTCCAATTACTTAAAAAAGTATTAACACGTTCGCTGGCGAGCGACATTTTCAACAACGGTTCCACCGCGAGATAACTCGTTGTTGGCAGCAAACGTGTTAATTAAGGTATCCCTACAAGAAATCCTAAAGGAAACTTTATAATACTTGATTGTGTCAAGATTGATTTCTGTTGATTAAAGGGACTTTGTACCATTTGTGGGTATCGCCTTGATTATACGTAATGAGTAGGGCCACAAATGAATAAATTGGATGACCACGTACGGTACTAAGATGACTAAAAATCATACATCTACCCTAATTAATAAAAACGATATTTTAATTTTTAATTCATTCACTGAAAGCCGTTGGAGATACGATTTTCCAGCTTAACAGTGTTTTACAATGTAGCGGCACAACACAGCCGCCGTGGAAGTATTTCTAGGTAGTTCACAAATTAATTGGATGTCAAATAAATAGGATGTTTACGCTTGATGCAGTGGTAGGCATAGTAAATGAAAAATAATATGAACAAATGATCGGATAGAGAAGGTACATTCAAGAAAATCTATTAATATTTAAGAAAGCATTTCAGTATGGTGAATCATTTCGACACGTTCCATTGATTTTTATAAAAAACAAAAAGATTATTGCGAGTGAATTAATTTCCTCAAGCTTCGTATCTTCTAACGCATTATAAAATATTTATACAAGTATTTACATACAAATACGCACGTGTATGTTCCATACAGTCACATTATTACTAGAAAAAAGAAACGTCATTTTCGATAATCGAAATATCACGAAAATGGCAATTGCTTCCATGTTAGCGGTAACGCAATACCAGATTATCAGAATGTTATGTGCGCGTGTTACAGATTGGATAGTGACCCATGCCGCATGGTAATGATCAATCGATCTCCTTAAAGTATCGAAAACTATTATTAGAATCATATGTGTACATAACGTGACTCATACATAACCACGTAATTACATTATAAAACAACGTACATCCAAGGAACGGAATGAAATCGCACTTATACGTAGTACATAAAGCACGTAATTATTTAGGTACGCTTGACTTGCATATCAAAATTTCATAGAATAAGATAATCCAATTTTAGCCGCAGAGATGCGAGTCTGTTGGTTAAATGGATACCACGTAAATGAAGCTTTAAATTTGCTATCTAAATTTTTATATAATTCTAAATAACTTGTAACGATTCTATGTCAGTCTGTGGTGCCATATGCTGGAGCAATATAATAATACATATATTTATAGGCGCCAATATCTGTGATGTTTACGTCGAGACAAAATTGCTATGCAGCACCGCGAAAAAAGCACAGGACAGCGCATTTGCGAAATTTGGCAATTTTTTAAAAGGCTACTTGCTCGCTTTTCTAATTATCTATTACACTAGGCACCAGACATTCATTCAACTCCTTTGTAGTCTGAACTCTTACCGGCTATATCTTTCAAATTGTTATCAAACTGGCGTTTTTTTTTCGATTTTCTTTTGTTATCGTATCTCGTATACCTGCCATTATAGACCGCACAAGAGCCGAGTTACTGCGAGACGCAGGAATACGCATCGTGACGGAATATCCGGTCGACGTGCTGAGCTAGACGCACTGCGTTTAAGGAAACGCAGGTAGAGATATACTGAACTAGAAATGAGGAATAGGACTAAACTGATTATTAGTCACCTTTTCCTGTAGTACTGCATTGCTTCTAGAATGCAGTATATCACGCGCTCTGCATGTTATCTGGTCCATATATCATTCATCCAATCATCATTTAACTCTTCGGCTGGTAGAATCCTCAGACCTTTTAAAGCTTCGAGGTAAAATGTCAGTTCTGATGTAACTACACCATGCTGTGGACCACCATTATTTACTATATTCATCTTGACTAACTGTTCTCTCAGCTTCTCCTTGAAGGAAGCATTCACGGTTCGATAAAGCGTCTGGACTTGTATTGGTGGAAGAATTCCAGAAACTGCCTCGTGAAGCTTCAACAAGTGTCTGATAAATAAAAAGAATGTAGAAGCATTTGTATACAAATATTGCTGGACGAAATAATTATTTACTTGGAAATATTTCTGAAGGGTTGTGATGGGACAGGTGGTCGCGCTGTCCATTGAGCTAGTTGACCACCCAACAGATTTCCTACAATATTCAAAACCTTCCCTTCGATTTCTCTCACGTGAGAACAAATATTCCGCTCAACACTATCCAATGAAGAAATGCCGCCACTTATTCCAGTTGCTCCAGCTACGCTGCGACTGCTATTTTTCTCGGCGAGGTCTAACGTTGTATTTTAATATGTGAAACGTATTAGAATTTATGGATCAAATGAAAATCTACTGTTCTTATATGTGTACCTTGGACTGGATTTCAGTATTCGACTCACCTTGAAAGTGGTTTTTAACGTATGGCATTAACCACAGAATTAATTGCAAACTACGACTGGCTAATACAAGAATTGTACTAGTGATTGTTTTTAATCCAGCAACTTGCATTGCACGTGCACCTAGCACAAGCGAATAACAATTAGAATTATAACGACATAAAAGTTCTGCTAACTGTCGACCAATGGTACCAGACAAAGCTGTTAATTCACTTCCAGCCCTGTAAATAAATATAGACAAAAAATTGATACACTGCTGGTTAATAATACTACTGAATATTTATTGTGTCGTACCTGCAATATTCGTGAATCATTTGAGTAAGCATTAAGGCGGTTCCTACAACTGCGAATTTTTCCTCGCCTATTAGTATGAAATTAGAAATATTTTCCTGCTTCTCTACACCTTCTCGCCAATAAAGTTCAGGGGGAAAACATTTATTCTTAAAGACATAGGTCACGAGTGACTGAAACTCGGATGGTACGTCTGCTTGTCGCCATCGCTCAGAATCTAATAATAAATCCAGCTTTACTTTACGTTCAGCATGGAAACGCTGTACAAACTTAGTTGCTTGTGCCTAAATAAAATAGTGCATGGTTACTTGAAGAATCTGAGAACGATAACTCTATAAGATACCTACTTTGAATGCTGATCGCAATGCTGAACACTGTCTACCACATAATTTCTCACAAGTTTCTGTAAATCCTTCTACCATACTAGCCAATTGACAGACTTGGGCAGTGGTAGCTCTTTCGCTCAACCAGGATCCTTTATCACTCCGTACTTGGCTATCAGATTCAGCTTGTTTATTGGCTACAGTATCATTTGCAGATTTATCCCTTTCAATCTGTATTTTCTCTTTCTCATTGGCACTGGCGGATAATAACTGTCCCAAACGTTCGTGGCAGTAATCGCAAACAGAAATTAACATTTCCGATAGTTTGGATTTTATTTTAGCATATTCATCATCGGATAGTAAACAATCCGTCAAAGAATTATCAACAGATCCATCCGGCAGTCGGCCAGCTGACATATCAGCAGTGTCTAGCATCACATCGTGAACTGCCTAAAATATTTTGTTCACTCTTATTGAAAATCTATATATTAACTATTTTATAATATTGATAGAATACTTTGAAATGCATACTTTTACACGGTGCAGAAGAGACGTAAGAGATTGAATAGAATTATGTAATAAAGTTAATCTTTCCGCCAAAGAAAGACCTCCAACTTCGAGTGCAGCGGCTTGTTGATCGCTGCAGCAATCACTTGCTGTTAAAGCTTCTATCACACGTTGTTTCGTAACAGCTCTTACAGTTGTTATAGCTTCTTCCTTGTAAGTGTCCACGAAGAGAAAATGTTTTTGGCGTAGAAGACCGGATATTATCGAAACGAGTTTATCCTGTTTTTTTCAGACATACAAACAAAACATTGAATTTTTCATAATTACGTATATTTCTCTGTCCATGTTACGATATGAGATATTGTCCCAAGTTTTATTATCAATATCATAGATTCGTTTATGCATAATGAAATGAACAAGTCGTATTGTACCGAATGCGGCAACAATAATTAAGCTTACTTAGTAAAAAAGCAGAATGAAACCAACAGCAATATATTCAGATAGTATAACATTACCCCGTCTAAAACGATACTTTCTTCACCCAATGGTCTATTTAGATCTGCCGTTGCGTATCGTTCGAATTCTGTGGAGAGCATCTTGTCGACCAGCCTTTCCATTTCTTTCAATTGGGGACTCAGATGCCTAAATTAAAAAATATGAATGAGTTGCATTCATTAAATACGACTGTACAAAATTTACCGAAAACTATGAATTCCATTCAATTCTTGAAGTAAAATTTCTTGTGTTGTGGAAATAAGATCGAGAGCTGCCACGTAATCAGGTGTAGATAATAATAATTGTATCATCGGTTGACTCTGGTGTACGGTGGCCATCAATTTCAATTTTTCTTGTACTATTAAGTGATTACATCTGGCACGTTCCAAACTTTTATGAAAAATTACATAATGTTAAAATGGACCAATCGAAATACTTTATTCATAACAAAGACAGTTGTACCCACCGTATAATCTCTAAGGAGTCTTTCACCAAACTTTTATCAATTTGATGAATATTTTCCCTGAGTGCCTTTAATACCGTTATCGTTTGGGTAAGTTGTTCCATTAGAGCATCGTGTGAAGTCATGGCATGAAAAAATGCCTGCGATTTAGATGCTACTTGTTCTGCTATTCTCACTTCCACAATGTCCAAATAATGACTAAGCTGTTTGGAAAGAATCATTTTTGACAGAAATTAAATTAACAGTTAATGGGGTGAAATTTCAATGTTTGTTAATGAATTACCGATAAGAAAACTGTATTGAATGCGCATAATCAGCTTCATATGAATTAACGATAATAAAGATAGCAGTTTATAAATTACATAGTGTACTTCATACTTTTTCTTGCATGTGTTTTGCAGAAGTAACAACGTTGCCACCCTCATCCAGTAAACCTTCCTTAGCAAATGGAAAAACTGCATCAAAATCGTCACGCCGAGAAAGATCCAAAGTTGGACTTAGGAATATCTTTGGAATACTGGCTAAATCAAACTGCGAGTGTTCTGTCGGACACGTAAACTTTCATTAGTCAGAGGAGAAATAAGAAAAAGGCCAATTGAGAAGAACGCACAGTATACAACTATAAGTAAGCATCAATTATTACCAAGCATTTTCACTTTCCTTAAGTTTGGAAAGTTTTGCAGCAACTCGTTCGGCGATGTTGGTCTGTTCGGATTTGAGTTCATACGAGCATGCTTTCGATACCTCTGTAAAATTAAAATATACAATAATCGTTAAAAAATTTTATCTAGGAATGTGCTGATCTCATTCAAGAATACTGTTTCTACATTACTTTTCCAAATAAAAAATTTGTTTATATGAAATAAATTTAAAAATTTGTAAACTATATTTTTGCACCTACCCGTGCTATTTTCTTTACATATGTTTCAAAGTGCTGCATAGTAATCTCTGGCAGATAAGGACTCTTTGGAATATCCACCTTTTCAACAAACGCATCACCCCATGTCTTTGTAAAGAAATTACTCTGTTTGCCCCTTGTAGGATCATTTAGTACCGCTGGTAAATTCTGCACAGCAGAATAAACTGTCCATGTCGATGAAGGTTCAAATGATATGCCATTCCTCCTCCTTTGTTGTTGCATTGTTGCATGTTTAGTAGCATGTGCTATATAATCTTTGTCCGAAACACCTTCCACAGGAAGATTGGCGCAAACTCCATTGTAACCATAACAGCATACAAAGGAGCCACCTTCTCTGGAACAATGCTGATCCCCCAAATGCCTAAAAACATTTTTTTAATCCATATCAATATAATTCTCAACATACTCATCAACCTTGATTCTACAAAACTAAAGAACAAGATCAAGGACTACACTATAAGTATAACAATGAAGAAAAACTATGGAAATGGCCATTGTATGTCTATAATCTCAATAAAAAACACAGTATACAAGGAAAACGATGACATAAAGTGAAATTTGTCAAATGAAGCATACACTCTCCTAAAAAAGTTTGAAAGTATTTAAAGAGCCTTGAAGGCAAATGATGCACTCATGATTTCCTAAGATAGCTACAACCTCGAAGTTTCATCATTTTTCAGCAATAGATAATTAAAGACGTGGAAAGGCATAAAATCATAAGCTCAATTAGCAGACGGTCATTGAACAGCCTGACCCACCTTACAAAGTCTGGAATATGTTTAAAGGAGAGGTTAGCACAGTATTCGCAGGATAGTATCGTCCCGACCGATTCCGAAGCCTTGACGATTTTCGCCATTTTTCAGCTCTCCTCTGGCCACAACATTCTTATACCGGTAATACTTCTTCACAGTTTAATTATCGTCGGGACACTCTATGAGCTTACACGACTCCGCGACTATACACGTCTCATGGAACAGCCACGCAACTACTGACTGCAAATCGTAACGCCATCTTTAAAAGTTTCAGTACGGAATAAGCAATGTATTCAACCATATTTTAACTGACAACAGTTTACATCTTTTTGATTATTCTACGTACAATTACTTATGGGGAAATGAGTGCAATATATATATATATATATATTTCCGGGTATGAAGGCAAAACATACTTTAGTTAAACATCTGTGCATTTGAAATGTACATATGTAAGGCGCAAAGTCAGGAGTTTAAAATAATGAGCACGATGAAGAATTGCTTATTTACACTTAAAATTATTTCAATTATTAGCGTGTCGTAACGACAAGTTGTATGGAATCGTCGTTGATATAGGCAAATGTTTACTGAGAATCTATTCAATACATTGTTTAATTCTTCCTCAAGAAACAAATTAACGCTGGTCTTACTACTACTTAATACATTTTTTACCAAGAGTATTTTATCTATTGCGTTTGCAAGGACATAGTACATGTAGTATATATGAGCCGGTGCATATAAATAATCTAGAATTAATAAAGGAGCAATTCTTATTCGGTATCAATAGCATAAGCAATAACCAGTGATAGTATCTTCTAATTATATCTGCATGTATAGCTCCATATGAAACAATTGTTTACTAGAAATATACATGTATATTGGACAAGATCTCATTTTAAGATTTAGAGGACTCTTATACTCTAAAGCATAAAGAGATTACCGTTTTAAAAGAAACTAACATTTACACCCCTACTTAAATCAATTTGTTCAGTTATTTAAGATATATTACCTACAGGTTCTTAATAGAAGCAATAAAATCACGTAAAATCAGTAAGATTTATTAAATCCGTCTGTAAAATATAAAGAGGGGCGCGCGTACATAAAAGTTGATCAAAAGATATTAAGCGCAAAGTGATATATACGGAGAGAAATTTCCAATAAATATTGTCTTGGAATGTGGGCTAAAAATTATCTACAAGCCTAGTAACACTGAGACTCAGCGGTAAAGTAAGTAGTTTTTATCAGCAGCGTAGCAGTTTTTACCTACACAATAATACCTATGTACATCCTACGTCCTACGAGTACGCCATAGCATTCAATAGACGTCATAATTTCTGGTGGGGCAAAACTTCAGACTCTCATGACTCGTGCGCGTCCCTACAAACCGAAGTTTCCCCAAGGTGACCGACCATGTATCACAGGAGCTATTAAAATTTATAGAAATCCAATAAAAATTTAGTGTGAAATCTGGCAATTTCTTTGTTGCTTTTCAACACGAACGTAAAATATGGTTCTACAGAGCAAAACATGCGACTGGCAATACATACGTTAGTGGTTGGTTATAACTTCTTCCAAACTAACGTGATTATAAATTACATTTTTCGTATATTTGACAATTTTCAAAATTTTACTACCCAGCGTAGTAAAAAGTTCAAGTATCTAAAATTTCTCTTTTTTCCGAAATATACTGTGATTTTTATTCTCTTTCTACTACTCTCTCTAATACTACACGTATATTTCATCAATGAATTTACGTGGTTGAAACTACGTCAGCAAGTGACGACACGTGGGTGTCGAGGGCGTGGTGGTTCAGTTTAAATTCGACATGCCACACCCCTTTGCAAAGCACGTGGAAATCCCCACTATAGTCACAAAACCTCCCCTACGGCGCCGTCAATATTTCGCGTCCGAGCAGAGCGCAAGATACGAACGTACTCCAGTTCTTACCATCTCTAGCGCCCTCTAGTAACCCTCTTCTGCCGCAAGCTGATACCACGAGGTGAGTGTAATCGTTAAAAATTCTAAATTCTATCTACATTTAAATTTCATGCATCGGTAATTTTCAAAACCGTAATAAAAGATTTCCCAAAAATTAAATAGAAGAAGACTATATCAACTTATCCGTATTGTACATCAGTCGCATCAGAACCGGACACTCGTGACTTGTGAAGTTTTATAAAGTTAATGTAATAATACCAAAGTTTGTGTTACTTGGATACCAAATCGAGAGAGAGTTATCAATTAACTTGTCAAACTTAGAATCAATTAACTCTGTCGTTATACCGTGGCTGTTGAACGTTCTTAAGGATTTTTTCGATGCTTGGTAAATAATCTGAAAATAGGTGATCTAATACTGCTGATTTTGGGCAACAGGTACCAGATCAAATATTTCATATCATTTATATAACTAGAAGCACCAAACTCCTTATAAGCTATTTAACCCGTGACATTTCCCCGTGCGAAGTCTTCGTTATTACTTCGTCGGCAATGCCAATCAATGTTAATAAAAAATCTTTGTTAAATGTTTTCCTAAAAAAGATCATTCCCTATACTCGCCAATAAATCCATCAATTCGTAATGTCAATTACTCAAGGAAATTCATGCCAATAATATTAAAGATCTGAAAGCTTCAAAGATCACGTTGCAGGAAATACAAAATAAAAGCCTAATGGAAGGACGCTTAATGAAGCGAATCCAAAGGTAGCCAAACGCATGTATTAGGGTAACGCACGCATTAGGCTCCTTGGAAATTTAATTTATACCCTGTATTGATATATTCATCGTATTCAGTCAAGGGCGTTGTCATTTATGTCGATTCTACATGTCCTCTCCGGAGTCATGCAACTACGTATCACGCACGTTTTGTAATACATTTACTCAATCCGAACTTCCTTTATGAAGTCCTAGACGTAGAGCAAATTGCATTTATGATTAATAGAAATTTGAGGAATATGAGAAATAAGGATATATACTTTTTTTTTCATTCGCGTAACAGCTGCGTTTGTGCTCTGCTATAGAATTGTTACGTGCGATACAGTAGAACTTCGGTTAGATAGAGAATTATATAATCATTAATTACAGCGACATCACTTCCTATTATGATAACGCCTCAGCGATACTTAATAATTCAGTCAGACATGTGTCTAATAGTACTTTTGAAACAATTGAGCTAATCCTTCGCGGATCGATCTTCCCCCATGGATTATTTCGTATGTCGTCCCGATAATTTATCACGTATTAGCTTCGTGTGGTTACTCGTGGCGACTGTGGCGCCACTCGGTGTTGATTTATATCCCCCTACAATCATATCTCTATCGTCTGTACAACCTGCAATTTTTATTTTTTCTTTCAACTAAATTCATCTGGACGCTCCAGGAATTTTAATGGTACCGATGTTATGAAAATTGGTACATCCTTTTTCGTTTCTATCGCGTACAATCAAAGTTACACGCGGAAATAGCCTTTCATAAGGTACAATAGGACAGATAGATAATTTTCTCAATTCCCTATTGGGGTTATCGATAAAATACAAATTAACAGATCAAACCATATTACAATTTAATGGAGTTTTATTGTACGGTAACGTATTCTTGACGTAAATTCTCTCTCTTTCTCGGTCCGTCCCTCTCTCCCGCACACTCTCCTACTCTGTATTGTCCTGAAGCAAAATAAAATTGCTACGTTCCCGCGGGTGGGAAATGAATCGTATTCCGGTGAGTAGGCGTAGCTATTAATCTATTAACAAATCGAGTAAGGCGAAGTGAACTTGGAAAACTTATAATTGCACTCGATTGATTCAATGCGAAGAGCATGTACTCATGTTAACGAACCGTACTCCGTGACTTTCAGTTATCGAAACTTTTGATTGCAAAAATGTCTATATACGATAAATAAAATGAACGATATTAAATGATATTTTCGAGTAAATAATTTTTTTTAATAAAAAATTGATATCAAACGTGTTCTCATTTTTATATGATATTAGGATACTCAAGTAATTTTGCATTATAATGAATGCGACGTGGAGTCAGTTGAATAACTCAAAATGTTAAAGTAATTTATCAGATTGATAAGCCTATAAACGTCGCAAGTACAATTTCTAATTCTCTGTCTAACCAAATCCTTTAGTTATTATTTACATTTTATAGTGTATTTGACTGCCAGTGAATGAAACATCAGAGAGGAGAAGGACTTATACATACATACATACATACATTGAATTGCATTGCTTGCTCACTATTCATGGGCTCCGCAGGTACCGCTTATTCAAACAAAATGGAAAAATTTGCAAAACAGAAAAGACGATTCTACATACCGCAATTTACTGTCACCCCGCTGTGAGAATGTTTGGGAATGTTTAAGAACCAAACGAGAAGAAAGAGAGTAAAGAGAGAGAATAAAAAAGAAAAAGAAGAACGACATACAGAAATGAAATAGAAGTGTAAAAAAAAAAAGATTGAAGAAATTTCACCCTCGTTTCATAATCATCCCAAATCATATAAATACGATAAGTCTTACGGTACAATAGATTCCCATTCGTTAGCGGGGACTTGTGTTTGTGCTCACTGGTGGAAAATCGACGTGTCTGAATACCGCGCCATTACAGAAAAATCATAGGTGCCACCGGGCACCCTCTTTTTTATATCATTTTTTCATGAATGCACTCGGCGAGTCGCAAATTGGTAAAAGGGAACGGGTCAAGTCAAATAAATAGCATACGTCACTGCGGTCCGGTTAATTTTGTAGCATATATTTTCCATGTCTTATTTGGGATAGGGTACAAACGTAAAATTATTAATGAAAATATTCAATCCAGCACGGAACGTTATAAAAATGAACATGTATCAATTTAAAAAGAAATTAATTATTTAAAAAAAATTTATCATGTATTATTAATATATCAATTATAATCGGATTAATTATATCAAAAATCAATATTGTGTTAATGCGATATGAGCGTCTGATTAGCTTTTAGATTTCACGGGAATATTAATAGAGACCAGTACTTTCTCATGGGCTACCTATTCACAGAAAGATAATACAACAGTTGACGGTTGTGAACTGTCGTCGCTCTTCCGTTCGATCCATCCTATGTAACAAGTCCATAGCGCGCCCAGGTTATCTTCATTCGACTAGCTACGCTGGCATGTAGTACATTTCGCATTCACGTAGGAAGTTATCGTCTTCCTATAAAATAGCGAGTACGCGTCCACCACTGATCTTTAAAAAAGAATGCTTTGTTCTTAATACAAAATAGGAATTAACTAAATGTCAAAATAAAGTTTCTTCAAACGTTCAAGACTTGCTATCGGTTTTGAAGACTTCGGTTTGCCAAAATTTTTCCAGACTCAACTTTGACTTGTCCTAAATCGTTTTTCGAGCCAATGTCGATTTTTGAATTTCTCCTTAGTTATACTTGAAGCGGCTCATGTACTTTGCTCTTATCCGTCTTACCGAACTTTTTCCACTTGTTTTGATTATTTTATAATTAGATTCAAGCAAAATTTATCGATAATTAAGATATGTGGATATACACGTAGAAGTAGACAATAATGACAGTTGTATACAATAAGCTCATGTGTAACTACCGCAGCAAATTTTTCTCATTATTTTCATTTTAATTTTACATCTAAATACGCATAAGCTATTATTATTTATATTTTGTTTAATCAAATGTGGGAGTCTTTTCATAGCACGTATCAGTACAGTGTTAATGAACGTACGACGTACATACATGAATACTGCATTATCTTGGACCAAGCGGTAGATAACAATCTTACAAGAAGCTGAAACTTTTCTAGAGCATAAAAAAATATGCTCGATAAAGTTCATCGGGATGCTGGAGAAAATTTAATTATCTATCGCGTCGTTTGTTACTTTAGTGTCAGGGTGGCTTCATCGTAGAAACATAGCTTAGGATTAGGATTGGTCACTGTTTGAATATACTTTTATATATAATGTATTTTCATTGATCGATTGTAATATAGTGTATATGTATATTGAGCTTGCCATATTCAATTCAAGTGTAACACATTGTTCACAGCATCCCAGCGAATCATGATTGAAACAATATTAAACTGGTTTACGTATACACATGTATATAATTACAGGAGAACTTTTAATACAATATAATATAAATGATGTAATCAATGATTGAAAATTAAAATCGATTTATTACAATATGTATATGTAGTATGCCTATGTTTAGAGTTCCTATTACAGACAGGGAATTAAAAAATTTGACGCTATACAGTATCTATGTACGTTCACTTGAAATATTCGTTGTGTATGATTTTTTAAAAAATTTTAACCATTGGCAGGTTATAAATCGATTTTCTTGCTAATGATGTTTCCAAATCAGGTCTGATTTAATAAGGTAATAAGATAAGCTTTATTGAAACTCCGTCAAAGAATGTCCAATTCAATAACTTCCCTAATTTCTCGAGTTGGGATTGTCTGTTATTTCGATAGGCATTCCTACGTCGAAGTTCGTATTTTATGACGGCGACTCTCTTCAAGTGGGATAATTAATTTTTGTGAAATTCGTGACAATCGTGATTAACGTATTGTGACAATTTTTATATTTAACCATAACACGACATCTTGTTAGAATCTTTGACGAAGTTTATATCTTGCTTAAATATTTATATTTTATTGCAGATAATTATCGCTTTAAAATTCATCGGTTTGGATTTAATTAATATCCTGTAATGATTAACGATTATAAATATATTAAATAAGCTAGTCTAAATATACCCAGCTTAATTAATGTTAACGAATAAAAATGTTCGCCTTAAACTTTACGACGGTCTCTTAATTATTGATTTCACAAAGATTTAAATAACTTCAGCCTCGTGCGGTGCCCTTAAGAAAAGAGATTAACGGTATTAAATGTGGTCGGAATCCAATTTCATAATTTCCCATGTAACTCCCGTACAATCTACTAGCAGAGAGGCAAATATTTCAAATCGAGCTGTTTCTCATTTGTCTGAGAAATAGATGTAAAAGAATTGTAGGAACATTTTCCACGTGAAATATCACCTACTTTAAGTCGGTTCTATTGCTTGAATTCTAATGAGGCATTCAACGTAGCCAATCTCAAGTTATATACTATACATTTCCTTACAATGCAATCATTACAGATACGCCTATGCCATTAAATCCAAGTATCGTTTCATTTCTGGACACCTAAAGTTCCTTTGGCCATTTTCGACTGAAAGCCAGTCAAGATTTCCTCCAGCATATTGATACGTGCCATCAAAGCGGAGAATTAAGGTGGATAAATAATCGTACCTTTTTAAGGTAAAAAAGTACTATTTTCCTCATTTCTACGACAATGGCACCCGCCGAATCACTCAGTTAAGTAGATTAACGATTCTCGTTGCTTCTATAGTAACCCCATCGGTGCTAATTTGTTAGACACGCATAAGGCACCGCGGGAAACCAGAAAATGAACTCGTCCGGTCACTGCCGACTGTACCCGTATGTTGGTTAATTGGGTCGAGAGATCTTTTTTCTTTCCTCTTATCATATAACCAAGGAAAAGAGCGACCCTAATGGCTTCTCCTGTGCAATCATGGAATCAGTTTAATACTAACTAAATTGGAACGTTTTAATTTTCACTGTGATTGAACTGACTTCCCTTTATTTCTTTTTTGTTTCAGATAATTATGGGGAAGAATGGTTGCTGTGGACTGAGTCTCTGTATTATTTTTTTCCTGTTTTTCTTGTCCTTCTCCAGTATAGCCAATAGCGCGGTATGGGCTAAGCCAGGCTGTCACGTTGTTGGTAAGTTACACTGAGTCGTTTTGGAATTTTCAAATTTTTTCGTGTTTCGTCAATTATTTACGTACAGTGTAATACTTGCTATTTGAAAGTCTTTAAATACTTTAACTTGAATCAAGTCATGAATTGGTGTCTAACAAGTTAGATAATTTCTTATACGTACAGTCGTTATGTGGATCAGATTGGCAATATAGGACAGTACTATTTGGACAATTTATCATTATAAATTAATATGATATGTCAAAGAATATTAAAATATTTAATGAAAAATTATTTATTATATAAAATTATTTATTTTTCTGATATGTTTTTATTGCTATGAATTTAAAGCCCTATTCTACTTTGCCTATTGACAAGTGCTATCGGTTTAAATTATTTTTAATTCGAAAACCCATTCCTTAAAGTGGAAAAAAAGTTTTTTAATTTAAAAGTTTGCAAAATGAAACATAAAATAGATGGCGTCGCGTGGAGCTCCTTGAAAAAATCGTTTCTATTGGCGCAGATAATTCCGATGTTTTGGCTCATGTGAAGCACAAAAATAGAAATTATTCTTGATTGGTAAAACTATGGCTATGGCCGGTACCAGAATTAAGACTAAATAAAAAAAATTGCAAAGTTACTGGAGAATGAAAAAAACCGATAAAAAAGGCGGGTTTTTAACAATCTTAGTTGTTAAATAAAAATATGTAATTTTTTCCTTAAATTCTAATTTTGGTAGGGGCGATAATCAATGACGTGTAAAATAATGTGTTAAAATTTTAAAAAGATCGGACGAGTACTTTCTTTTAATGTCATCTGCGCCAGGTGAAAAAAAAATAGTTTTAAGATAAATCGATTTAAAGTTTGATATTGACTTAAAATTTGTTAAACGCCGACTGCGTTTTTCTTCTCTAAAATCCGATCTATTGGGAATTGCTCGATAAAATTTTACATGTGAATTCTGAAAATTATGTATTATCGAGAAATAACAAAAAAAATAAATTCGAATTTTTTTTAAAGTTGACATGATTTTTTCATGATTCAAGAAATGTGCAGAAGCTCATGACAATTTTTGATCTAAAAGTAAATGCCCTGCAAATTCAAGCACCGTGACGATTCATGTCCAAAAAAAAGTCAATTGTACCCTTTTATAAACTAGGAATTCTAGTTCTTATTGCGATTGCTCACTGAGTTAAGGAAAAAGAAGAAAAAAACGTAAAGGAAAGGAAAAATTGTATCAGGGAGAAAACCTGAAAGAAAAAAGGTCCCGACACGACGGTATACCTTTTGGTTCTATGTTTATGAGTACGCTCCTAGCATCCTAGCTTGAAATTGGCTGGCCACGTAAAAACAAAAAAAAAATAGTTCATTTTACGTTAATCGGCGACTTGAAATTTCTGTTGGGAGAACTGCATCCCTCCCCTCACCTGCGTAAACGCGTAAGTTTAAAATTTATGAGATCTTACGTATACCTTGTGCTTAAAGAGAAAAGAGGAAAGCGTATACATGCGTATTACAAAAAAAAAAAAGAAAGGGTAAGCTGGTACAAAGAAAAGTTAAAAGTCTTTGACCGCAAGAGCAACTTTAAAAATTTGACCATACCTCGCGCAACTCTCGTATAAACGTCTATATACACCAAGCTTCAAAATTGTCAAATTGAATTCAATGCATTTATAAAGTTTCATTCTTATCCCGAAATAAGCCAAGATAACTCAGTGCATATCTTTATGGGAAGCTTTGCTTTCAGATTTCATTCGAAAACAAGCTTTAAATCAAATAAAGAGTTTGACAGTAGAGCCTCGAGGTTTCGCGGGAAGATTTGTAAAATTCGAATTTGCGCGAGATCGTAACCCGTCTAACTTTAATTCCATGGCTTCTCTAACCTCTCAAAATTTCTCTTTTGAATTGTTTTCCATTTTTTTCTTTATTCGCAACTTTGCCCCTAATCTACGTATACAATATTTGATTCCAGCATCCGAACCACTCCCTGTTTCGCTGATTACTGTCCAAGAGGAAACGATTATCTTCAAAACTAGCTGATTCTTCGTTACCACCATGTATTTTTAGTTACGTACTTCCGGAATTTCAAAAATGCTCCCAAGAATATTTTAATTGACGAATTTCATTTGGATTATAGAATATATGTAGCACTGCTATGGGCTCTCGTAAAGCAATATATCAAATTGTTATCTTATATTCCGAGTAATTATCATGACGCGTGTATTATTATCTTATGGAAATTTATTACTCGGCCACATAACACTATAATGATTACGTTTGAATTGTTCATCTTTGTACCTATCATGCTAAATCCTCGTTATCTAAGGCTTAATTCAAATTACGAATTTAATAGTGTACGAGCACCCCTTAGCATTAGGTGTTCTTTTTCTTTTTCATAAAAGAGAAGATTAAACAGAATATGTAACTTTTCATTCCAGGTCATACACGTAAAATCCGGATTCCAAATTGCGTCGAGTTCCAAATGACCACCAACGCATGTCGAGGTTTTTGCGAAAGCTGGGCAGTACCTACAACCCTCGAGGCACTTCTTGTAAATCCCAATCAACCTATTACTTCCGTCGCCCAATGCTGTAACATGATGGAGACCGAAGATGTAAGAATATAATATCCGTCGGTTATATTATTTTTTTCCAAATTATTATTTTCACGATGAAAACTAATAATGGAAAATATATAATAATTGTATATCTGAGAAAAAATTTATTATAAATATATTTATCATGTTGGGATATATTTCTACATAACAGTACATAAATATTCCTGTTATCTCTAATGAAACGGAACTTGACACGGACTTCTGTAAGTTGGTTATGCTAATTAAACAAAGCTTGGTAATATTCAAACATTCGTACCTATGAAGGATGGTTTTCACGTTTATACGACCAGTTACAACCTCATGCTCTTTGTGCTCCCTTAAAGGATAAGCTATGTATTATATTCCACTCTATGGAGTTTCACTACAGATGACAGATTTTACAACCCGGATGAATTTTCTCTTTTGGACTACAAACAGGACCTTGTTACTGGCAAGTCGTCAGTACTCAACAACACTTTGTCTTTGTAATTCTAGATACAGGTTAGCGTGCTGTGCCTTGGAGGGATAAAGGAGTTGACCTTCAAGTCCGCAAAATCATGCAGCTGCTTCCATTGCAAGAAGGATTAGCAGAGATACAGCGAAATCCAGTATTACCTACATAAATGAAAGGACTGGTAATCCAGAAGAAATTGATAAAACGGCACGACCCTGATAATTGCAAGTCACTCATTTATTTAAAAACTTAGAAGTAACACAAGAAACATTTATTTTCTGTCGCAATACTGAAAACGCCAAAAAATTGCATATTTCATTTAAAAAATCTGAACGTATAATTATACAATAGATGCATATATAGATAATTATGCAATAGATCATTATACTGGATTCCAAGCGTTTTCTTTTTTTCTTTTTTTTTAAATTATGTCCGTAACACGGGTGATTTTTTGGTATTTGAAAATGGTAAGGCATTCCCTGTAAATATTAAATAATTATTAACGTTGCATTCTACAAGCGTCGCGCAGCATCATCTCTCACTGTTTCGCTGGACCTAAATATTTTAGTTCATGCTTGGTACCTTTACTCGAAGGATTTGGCATCAGTAGATATTATGAGAATTATATGTCTGATAAATGATGCGTATTATTTACCTATAGAAATCGGTAAATATCTAACGATCCATGTCTCATAATCTCTTCTTTCGATGTTGCCCGACTCATTGACTTTCTACCGATGACTTTTTACTAGCGTAATTGGTATTTTGGAAAATGTCTAATTTTTTCTCAAGAAAATTAGTCGTTTTTGCATAGCCCTCAAGTATCTCATGACATTTTCGCTGGGGCTGGCCGCTCATCGACGTATGGTACATCGATGACGTTGAGAAATTCTTGATGAACTTGAAGGACATTTAGGCTTCTTTCTTGTTATAGTCGATATACGATAGAAAGTTATTCCTAAGGAACAAGTTATATACTATTAATGTGTAACACGATGAATAATAGTGATTCGTGGTAATTGATGTTATTTGTACATTTTTTGACTTTCTTTTTCTTACGTTTTAACCTTACTACGAGATATTTATATTTAAGTCAATCGTTGACACTACCGTGGTACTCTTTCTGTGTTATCCTCTAGTCGCTTCATCTATGATAGGATAATTTCTTTGTAGATCAAAGTGTTAATAAAAGGTATATATTTCGAAGCTGCAACGAGCCATTTTACCTAAATAAATTACCTTTATCCTTTCGATTATTGGATTCGAGTAATTATTTTAATAAATTATGAAGCGTTATCACGTTATCGGAAAGAATGCGATATGAATTCATTCACATTCTATGCAAGACGTTTGGAAATAATTAGTTTTAGCGAAATACTAATTAATAATTCTTGTTGCTATTTACGCAAATTTTAATATCTGCAGGAAGTCGCATTTATTGCCATGTGAATCGCCTGCGGGACACTTGAACTCATATGAGAAAAAGTCATTAAACAAATCATTGGTAAGATTTTAAAAGTCAAATTTCAGTGTTCCTTTGTGCTAATAGATAAAATAATGAATTGCTCATTGAATTTACTTAAAGTACAAATTTTATTTTCGATATCTTAAAGTTTACAAAGCCCGATTATCCGTACGAGACAACACGCGTGGCTTTGAATATTTTTTCTCTTCTAAAGAGATGTCCCTTTTAATATACACTGTGCAGCATAGTGTTATAGAATGCCGAAGCGGTAGGTTGGTAATGAGAGGGCCGCCGCTTCAGTAACACGAGATTGACTGATATTACGTGTGTCGCCGGTGACGTCAGCGACAAGCCAGCGTCCCCGGGGTAGCCGCACCTCACTCTCTAACCCTTAATTAACATTCTGAGAGACTTCTTGGAGTGGGCAAATCATCGATAATAAATATCAGCCAATAGGATTCTCTGAATGTAATGTGAAGAAACGTTCGATTTTTGCAAATCTACACGATCGATAATCAACAATCAGTGAACGAAGTTCGCACAGTAGCGATTTAACCGTCTTTTAATAATTCCATAGTATCGCTAAGAGTTGAAATAATTTATATTAAAAAGAAAAATTTTGTAAAATTTTAATATCATTTGTCATTCAGAAAGACACGCTCAGCAGTAACGAATAATTTGTTTAAAAGAGATTCGTGACAAATGATTCAATAATTAATCGTTTTATTTGCAATTCCGTTCTAACAATTTGTACGATATAGGGAGACTATAGTATATTTAAATTGGACAAGTAATCCAATTCATCATTTGATTATAATCAAATGAAAGTTTTATAATTTAGACTCTTTTAATCTGAGCTTTTAACGATGTACAATTCAAACAGGAGGCTTGATATATTATCACATTTTACAATTTCCTATAAAACGTAAAAGCCAATTACAGGGAAGTAGACACTCGCGGACAATACTTCAGCATAGATCGGTATAGGACAATATGAGAAATTCGTAAACTTTCATATTATAGTCTAATAAGCAAACTGATTACAGCCATGTTCACACTGAATAATTTCACGGAGTAGCTGAAACTTGCTATTTTCGTTGCTCGTTAAATAAACATGTTACGCGACTAATTAATGCAGAACGTCAATTAATGATTAGATAGACAGGACGTAAATTCTGACTATTCTGCTTCACCTTTCCGAAGTCAATTGTCAAACAGTAAAAATTACAATAGTCATGCTGACTATAGTAAGAACGTAGCCAATAATAATATAACATGTATATGTATTAAAGTACCAATTTCGAAAAGAAATCTGCCACTCGATATCTTTTTGTAAAATTTATAAAAAAGAATCATTTCGTAATAGTTTAATTAAATTCAAATCTTTTTAGCTTTCCCGCGGCGATCTCGCTTACGCGACTGCTGAATTAATTGGTCTAGGGACGCAGTAAGGAGACTGTAGTCGCTATGGAATATCTTGTGTCTTTAGAAGTGCTCGATACTCGTATACATATATACCTTGAATATTAAATGTGACTAAATGTCATTTAGATTCGCATAAAGTTTATTGTTTTATTTTTATAATACAATATAAAATATGAATTCCGTTGAGCATTAAACTTTATTCAATATTGAAGTGAAATTATTTGAGCTTTATTTTTTAATCTTTGGAATATATATCAAGTTTACAAATCTGAACTGTCACCTTTACGAAATGAAGGCACGTTAAAATCCCTTAGTCCCTTCTTAAATCGGTAATTAATTTTTAGACTAGTACCTCCGAAGGAAAAAAAAACGAGTATCATTGAATATTTAAATACAAGAAGTTGTGACGAATAACCAATTATTTCAGATCGATTAAAATATTTTCTCGCTATCTCAGAACTACTCTTCCACTCGTAATAGTCATAAGATGACTTTAATTAACACATTTCCAAATAGCTTTGCTACGCGCCCGTCGTCTCTCAATCTGTAAGTCATTTAACATTTCTGTGTTTAATTACCAAAGAAAAACTTTCTCACAATTCTGCAGAATTTAAATTACAGGATTTTTGTTCAACAAGTATAGTGATTGTCATATCCTTGAGTAAATCGTTACCAATTTTAGGGACAAATAACAGTTGTATTCTTCATTATATTACGTCCTCTTTTCGACGGGTCATCCTTTTATGCATTTAGATATAAAAGAGTCCCCTAGACGATACATTATAAACAAAACTAGACGTTGCGAATACATTACAAAGAGAATCTCTCTGGACCAAATTGAGATGAGACTATGAGAGAGAAAAGATTTGTTAATTCCGAAGGGAACTCACGTCGGATTTTTCAGCTGGCCAGTTAGATACATACTGCGCATATATCTATATAGATACGCCATCTGTATACATATATACATGGCGTAGAAGTCAAGACTGATATATTCAACGGGATAGAATCTTCCCTATGTTCTGAATTCTCTAGACCATATAGAAGTGTATAGAGACGCAGAGAGAAAAGGAAACTGAAGAAAGACGGAAAAGAAAAGATGAATTCGTGACTGCACATAGGATGAGAATAAAGTCTTGGTGAAAACATGAGAAGTGTGAGAATTCCATTTCATTCCCTTCTTATACATGATAAAAGACAAGGGAAGTGCTTGGAGATGACGTATGCACGATCGTATAGCAGTTATGATCTCAAGGCAAGTTGTCCATGAGGCATATGAAAATCTTGAAGATTTCAACTAGGGAGAAAAAAAGAGGAGCTGATGGGATCGTAACGCCCTCTTCTGCATTTCCCGGTAAATATTTTTATCGCAGCATCGCTAAATTTCTTTAGCGAAATAAAAGTTTCTCTGCACTCGGATTCACGAGAATCGTATCAATCCCGTTTAACTTTCTCACTCGTAAATCCATCCGGAATCGTTATTTTTTTTCTCCAGCCAATGTAACGCCCGCACGATAAGGGATGACTATCAAGAATTGAAAATCCAGTTTTATCCTCCTACCGCGGTAGTCCATCGAATATAAGCATTTGAATGTGAATGGTGAGATATGATTTTACAAAAAAAAATTCTGCTGATACGTAACTAATTAACGTATATCGATCTTATGATGTAACTTATATAAAAAGTTTATATGTACTACATATGTATATCCTGACTGTGACGTCATACTTTCCTAGAGAAATTTCTACAGTCACGTATATAACGTTTCTCAAAATCGACAAAATATCAGTTGATAAAGGTTATGACATTTTATCGTTTCCATGCAAAATTTACATATGGTTCTTTTTCTTATTTTTCATGTATATAATATTTTTTCATTTCTTTAAGAGCCCGATAAATCGCCTTTGGTTCCTCAGCTTATTCACACCAACTTCAGGATACATTGTGTACATTTCGATGTAATAGTCAGTAGGTCCTCCAAAAATAGTCACGCTTAACCATCATTCCCCCGTCTCTTAAAAATTCGATAAATCTAAACTGGCGCAATACCAACGTCTCTTCTAGACAGCAGATTATCTTGACGGATATAAACGCGTTTATAAGATGTCTCCCAGGTAGCTCTCACGGGAATATGTTTATGTAAATACGTTAGAATGTGAAAGAACGGAAGCTGGCTCGTGAAAAAGAAAGAGCAGGGTAGATACGATATACACAAGGACAAGGGGGCGTAATAGTAAGGGTGTCGTAGGGGCAATGCAATATTTCACTAACTTCGACGGACTTTTCTCATGCATATTTTTCAACGCTCAGACGCGTCCCCGTCTTTTCATGCGAGCCAACCTTAAAGCACTTACGTCCCTATTTATCCAGCTGGGAGAATGAAGCTTATAAAAAAATTAATTAAGCCAACAAATGAAAATAAAATATTCTTTGATTCGAATAATTAGTAATTTCATGCAATTTTTTAAACGATCTCACGCAGGACTTATAACGTAAGAGATAATAATTCAGTTTATACTGCAAGCTCGATAAGAAAACTGACAAATGGTCACTTGCGAAGGGGCCAGTTGATAACTGAGCAAAATCAAACTCAGTGGCCGAGTGCAAGCTGGCGGTGAGCCACAGGTTGCGAAATTAAATCCATTCGAGGTTGTTGATTAATGATGTTCAACCGGGTCCTTTTACCGCACTGCGATGTATCCTGTATGCGTGTGCACATATGCATTGCTATTATCGTGGGACATTGTTAAATTAATGCACTCCAGTGACATCGATGTTTCGTTGACCTGTTTGGTCTGCATAGTTTCTACGCATCAGTACAGAGAAGTATGTTCAATCAATATATAAAAATTTCTGAGTTTTCTGATAATAAAATCATTCCGCGTATGTATATTTGATATTTTCAACAAATTTCTAATTAGCCGTACGATTCTATTTGCGGTTTTGGGAAAACCTGCTAGATATTAATAATACGAAGCATATGTATGTAATGTATGAATTTTTGTGGAATTGGCAGAGGCGAAATATCGAATGTGCGATAATATATCTTGAATTTTGCCTGATTCAGAATAGGAGGGAAAATTGGAATATTTTAAATAATTTTATACGAGTATATCTGTTTTACATATAGACACTATATATGTTGTAGGTTCAATTATTGTTTTACGTCATGGCTATTTTGGAGGTAAAAAAATAACAAACATTTTTTATTCTTTCTCGTGGTGGAACATATATTTTTCTAAATAGTATATATATGTATACTCTCTAAAGAATTTTACATGCAATGCTTAACATTACCTAGATCTCTGACATAATGTACACGGAAGTAGGTTGAGAGAATGAACTTCTTTATAGGCTTAAGGATTGCGTTCTACATAGGTACGTTAAGTGACTCGTTGGTACAAGAGAAAAATGACACTTTCCGCAAGTCTTTGTTCAACAAAAATTAATATCTTGCAATTTGCTATATTACGTCTATGTACATGGGTATTCGGTGAAGAAAAAGCGTCCAGGATCTATATAATTAAATAGTAGGGACTCCCCGTTGTCCCTTTTCTTAAAATAAAATATTGAAAAAAGTCAGTATAAACGCAACGTATACATATTCGAATTTATAATTAATTAAATCTACCGCACTTTAGTCCCATTTTACTATAAATCGTGAGATAAAGATTAGGTACCGGGGCTTATGATCTTTCGCGTGATTATGGATAACAATAATAATAAAAGTTCCATTGACGGATAAGAAATATTTGAATTCCTATGTGCGTGTGTATATATATATATATATATATGTCATCTATCTTTTATGTAACAAGTGATAAGAACATGGGCATCGATTTGCAAATACGTTTTAAAGCGATCGAGTACAGCGCTTTATCCACACGACGTTGAACTCTTCCGTAAACTTGAGATGAGACTCGTCGAAAGTTTTGAACGATAGTTTCTAAAACGTATCTATTATGTCCCACTTATCCATGGAAATCGAATTGGAGCGGGGCGGATAGGATTCATCCGAGATAGAGAAACGTTCACGCAATCGATCAAAGCCCGACACCCCTCTTGTGTCTAAAAATGGAGATTGTTAAGGTAGAGATTAGAAAATTATTTGAAATTAATTATATTGTTGATTCGTATACGTCATACCCTCTGGTATATTGTTAGTTTCAAAGCCAGGTAGAGATCGTTGACCCCTGTAACGTAAGCCTTCGCAGGAAGTTTCCGAGGATTTGCAAACTGCACATTTACAGCTTTCAGCCTCCAAGTATTCGTAGCTAAAAAAATTCAAATCATTTACATCTCATTAGGTACCGTTTCATATTATTATTATTGACCTTGGTACAGTAGAGCCCGATTTCACCTAACGTTCCTTTAACCTTTTGCCATTGTTATATTAGAAAATAAATATGAAAAAAAAAATAGTTTCTATCTCCTGGCTAACCACTCGTGAGCCATTTAATTCGCGATTAAGGAAATTAGATTCCATCGACAGATCCTATATAACGTGCACTGCTTAATAGTAATGACTAACGGCGGACTTAATGATTGACTGTTTGGATCAGGACGAGGTGCGACCGGAATAGACGTCTATAAAGTACCAAGAGGCAGAGCAATTAGAGAGTCGTTAAAAGTTCAATTCAACTGGAATACATAGTGCAACATTTCGAAGACGTCTATGTATTGTTACGAACAGTTCCGTTTTCTCGTTCAGCCGTTGTATCCATTTAGATGCTTATTCATTTCTAATTCGAGCTATACACTTTATTCAAATTGTTCGTGTCGCCAATGAATTAGATTAATAATAAAGTCTTACCGTTCTGTACCGGGCATGACACCTTCCTCGCAATTCCGAAGAACCGTGACAGAACGTTGTCGGCCATCGTGAATGCATACCGGATGATGCGAACGTTTGTAGGGAAATCGCCAATCGGATATCTAAGAAATTGTTTAATGAAATTCATAAAATTTCAATTACAATAAGGATTCTAAATAGTTAAATGAAAACTGACCTCGTTACTGTCGCAGCGACCCCAGCAACTCCAGACGCTCAAAAAGTCCCAGCACTCACGACCTTGCTCATCTGGCTGAGACACTCGATAATTGTAAAGCCTCCTGTGACATTCAAGAGTATTGCTCAAGTCCTCGGGAGTGCCGCTCGCATCCGGTAATCTTAAGAAGAGGATCAATGACGCAATGGCGACGAGAACGGCCGTCACAGCCATTCTACCTGCAACGAAAATGATAAAGGAGGGTCGTTCGAACTACAATTTCTCCATCGTCCTCTCCTCGTCGAATCCATAAAGATTTTATAGCCGCTCTAAGGACTGTATCCAGTCATTAAAGAGCATCCCTGTCGCGAGTGCAATGATATAATAATTATGAATTTAATGATGGCCAAATCCTACTAAACTCCCGTTATAATCCTGGACTCAGTGTGAGGTTAAAATAATTTTTTTTTAAACGAGTCACGTCTGTTGTACTTATGGTGAATTCATTTATTCAGCAAATCGGTCAGTCTGAAGTAGACGTAATATACTCTGGACGACACATGGTTACAGTATAACAATAGATAAGGTCTGCGGGTGAATATCATTTAAGGGTATGCTGCGTCGAATAAGAATAATAGGTAGCTCGTTTACCTTTGTATGCAACAGGGAATGTATGCTTTTCTAATATTGCAATTCTATGGAGTAATCAAGCAATTAATTACAGTGAAAGAAAAAGAAAAATTTTCTGTGTAGTTATTAAATAATCAGCATCCATTGTATAGTTGTCTCGAATTTATTTGCAACGGATATAGCGGCTCGTCCCAATAATTAATAGCGTCGCGACGTCGTCTCTTTTTTTTTTATACGCTCAATATTTCCCTTAGGGCTAATTTATTCACTTTAATCAAATAACGGTTGACAAATTTTCCAGCAATTCCTAGAATATCCGAGATCTCGATATTCATCTTGGTTCACGGCTGTCAGTATGGCGCGCGCGATTTATAACAGTTAGGATTTAGAAATGGAGTGAAGAAAATCCTCGTTTATTCTTCAAGGATTTACACTGTGGCTCCTTGCATATGTTTGTCTCTAAAGGATACCCGGTGATCCGGAAAGGATCAAGATAACACAATCGTCTCTAAAGCCTTTTTGACAAATTATCATGCATCTGACTTACGTGTAGAAGGACTTAGCGTTCTTGATAAAAATCGTTCTACTACTGAAAGGTATCAATATTTTTTAACAGGATCCAATCCTTTGATCAAACAATGAATATTTCAACATCAACTATATAACATTTTATTGACTACCTGTTGAACGCAGAGACTTTAGACTGCATTGCTGTTTTATATGTTCACTGTATATTTTTCATTCACCGCTTATAATCTTCTCCGCCCATCCCCGTTCTACAGAGAGTTCTACAGTACAAACTCACCAACTGAAGTTGTTTCTAGCATTGAAATACAGTGGACAGACTAACTTCAGGTGGCGCGGTTGACCTGAATAATATAATAATAATAACCCTTCATAATAATCTTTTTCGTATTTCATTCTGTCCAGCGACACTTCGAACCTCCTTGATCCGTTCGCTCGGCGCTCGGCAGTTGTTTACTTCAATCTGACAGCTGTCAAAATGTTCTAACCACATGTACATCTATAACCCGTGTAACCTATTAATTTCCGACTGTAAATTGCCTTATTTGTGCTTTAAACATTCCGTTCGAATGGAACAAGTAAGACAACAATTTTGGTTTAATGTTGCAAATAATCTGTTTTAAACTCAGCAGCCGCCAGTGGCATATTAACAGCCATTAAAATTTCTTAGCCGTAAAATATTTCAGACTGTAATTCGTCACGTTTACGAATAATACTAGCTCTGGATGGTTTCTTGCAGGAAATCGTAACAGTAGAGAAAATTTGGAAAAGTATAAAAATATCTCGAATCAACGTTCTGTTGAAGGCCAGACGATCTGTTACGAAGATGGTTCCAACCATCGATCTCGCTATTCAAGTACTTAACACTTGTCATTCGTAATATCGAAATTCTTCTTGTTATCATTTCTTATGTTCAAATGTTCCTGACTGTCCCTACCGTATTGCTTTTTATACCAAAATTATCCAGACCATCGTTTTCAATAATTTAATACTACAAATCTTTATTCCACATGCCCAATTATCCTTACTAAGGATCCCTAAATACCCTTTATCTTTATTGGCTGCTCTGAATATCATTATTTTTGCTCAAATAGTGCAACTCAATTGCTCGTGCCCAAAATGACTTCATTTAGAAAATCCATTATTTCCATTGTTCAGGTACTCTTAATCATCCACATAGATCCTTAAATACTTCTAATAATTTTTCCTAGAAAAAGTATTTTTTCAGAAAGACGGACAGTGCGGACACCGGTAGCTAATCATATATAGAGTACACCCTCAACTATAATTACTACCTTGAAATAATAATACTTTTTCGTTAACACTATTGACTAATTAATCTTTAACAAAAATCAATTACTCTTTGATGAAAATGTACACTCACCCAACTACTCGTTAGAAACTTTTCTTACTGGTTGCTTCTGCCTAATGGATTTGAGGACCAGGCCCTACCGTACCGTGGTGCTTTCTTGACTGCGCTTGACTTTATTGAAGGGCAGAGGACCAGTTCGCTATATTACATCCCACGACCTACCACCTACGCTTCTCTCAGCTACTAAATGGTTCCCGCGCAAAACTACCCCTCAGACGGTTCTCGATTCTGTGTCTGGTGGGAGAATCAGCAAAGGCGCATGCTTCGAAAGTAACATATTATTGGCTAAAATACACGCAAACTCGAATGACTCAGCAGCGCTTTAGTTCGAAAATTTTGAACTCTCGTATGAAACCATGACCAACCAGTAGCAAGTATAGGCATGCGTGGGCGACGTAGGATTTATTTGACACCTTTGGCAAAATGGAGTGAAAGGGGCTAACGAAATGCTTCGTTACTTTGGGCGAATATATTTTACGTGAACAATATATTTGAGCTTTTTACATTACTCAATTAAAAGAACGTAATATCAAAATGGCAGAATAAATTTATTTGTGGTTCGAAATAAATTATTATTATAATCGTACTGTGAATGTGGTTTTTAAAGAGTATTGGAGGCTCAATGGATTTCATTCAATTCCTGTATTACATGTGAATATCTGTATTACAGGCATCGATAAGTAACGTCGCTTTTAAAAAATTTCAATAATTTGAAGAAGCGAAATTACATATAGGTACCCCTAATACGTACGTCCCATTATTCTTATATTATGTAATATTTTCCAGCCTAAGATTTTTCTACTGCTGTGTACACGTGAATTATTCATTGTAAAAAATTATGGATATCAGTTTATTTCTCTTTTCTGCGTCAATTACGTATTTCCTATTCCTCTCTCAGTTGCATTCGCCACAATTTTTTTTCCACACTTTTTCACTGTTTTCCCACGAAAAGTGGTGATAATTACGTATCTCAAAATTCTCACTCGTCCTTCTCACTGTAAAAATTCTATAAGTATTTTTCCCGGGCAACGATCGACAAGCGATCGATCGCTCATTAATATCGCTATAAAACGTTCATAAAATCATCGAAAATATTGTTCCTATCAAAAGATCAATAAATAGATCGTTCTTCTCAATTTTAACAATCACCCGCACTTGCACCAGGTCGGATTTCAGAAATTAAACATGATTATTGTTATTGTCATTATGTATCTGCGCATGTGGCAATTGCTGAAGGATTTGACTATTGACGTTAATCTGATGTTGATTTTGTTGTTGTTGCTGTTGCTGCTGCTGTTGCTGCTGCTGCTGCTGCTGAGCACGTTGTACCTCAAGGGCCAATAATTTCTGACGTTTCTCTTCCATCAGTCTCTCACGATGCTTATGAATATAATCATAGACATTCGGCAATCCCATTATCACACAAGCAGACAAAGCAGAACGATATATATTCATATCAGTCGCCTCATACCTACAAGAAAAAGCATAAAATCTTAATGTATATCATTTAAAACCCCTGAAACTAAGTCTATGGTATTCCTTGTAAAGTGATAAAAGTTGCGTAAGGTTTTTCAAGCTTCCATAGTCAAACAAGATACAGTGGACTTCATAATTTCTAGATAGCTGAAATTTCCCCAGGGAACCTCAACAGGATACTTATGCATTGGCAGCTTTATATCTTTATTTAAAAAAAGGCAGGTTAACCTACCGTCAGGTAAACAGTTCTTAGAGTGACCTGGGCATGTATACGTGTAATGTTTCTTAAAAATAAATGACTTACCACTCATTGGTTTTTTCATCGTAACACTCGACATGATAAATAGTCGTTACTCCATTGAAGCCACCAATAGCAAAGATCATGTCGTCAATGACTTCAATGGCGAAGTTACTACGTGGATTATACATATCCGGTATCTGTGTCCAAGTATTAGTAGCAGGACTGTATTTCTCCCCGCTACACATTCTGGATATTCCATTGAACCCACCTAGAAGACCGTGAGAAAGGAGAAAAGTTTTAATCCGTCAAAGCTCATAGAGTTCGTACGAGTATCGCGAATATTACCGATGACGTAAACGCAGTCATGATAAGCTATACACGATACGCCACTTCTTCGTGATCGCATAGCTGATATTAAAGTCCATTGATTGGTCTCTGGATCATAAACCTCAGCTGAATTCATGCACTCCTGACCATTGAAGCCACCGGTGATGTAAATCTTATCTAAGATTAATTAAAGGGAAATTAAGAGTTAGAAATGGAGTTTTTGAAAAAAAAAAAATTTCTATTTTTTTATATACCGTTCAACATAGTGGCACTTGCGTCAGATCTCTGCACGTTCATTGGTGCTATCAGTGACCATTGATTGTTACGATAATTGTAACGTTCCGCTGTGTTTTGTCGATGATAACCGTCGTAGCCACCCATCGCGTAAACTAAATCGTTGACCACCGCCACGCTTACGTAGCACCTGCGTTTTTCGAAATTCAATAATCTCCGATAACTTTAATTATTTTGTCATTTTTATTTAAATCCACCTGCGTGCATTCATTGGCGCCACCTCGCGCCACGCTTTCGTCACTGCATTGAAGCAACGGCAACTGTTGAAGTAATCCATGCCATCGAATCCACCGATGACGTATATATTAAATCCTACTACTGCTGTACCGTGATAAGCTCTGGGACCAGTAGGATCCACTTCTTCGACCTAGAAAAAAAAAGAATATAATTAATTACTTAAAGACAATCTTTAATATGACCTTTTTCGATTAATCTTACCTTTACCCAACGATCAGCTCTGGTATCGTAGGTCTCGATAAAATTTGTTGGACTTCCGCCACTCCAGCCACCAATCGCAAACAGGATCTCATGAGGTACGCGTGGTCTTGCTATTTCCGGTGTAGGAACTTCCCCGTCCTTTTGCGTGATCATCTCCAGATCATATAGAAACTTTAAAGTTTCTATGATAATCGGTCTGCACGCTTCGTTTCCGGTTACGTAAGGATGATCTTTGACATTCTCAAGAAAGAATTGCGTGTCTAACAATCCTAGACGAATGTTCTTCATCAGCTCGACTATATAACCCTTGCGTGACTCGGGCTCGTGATTTATCCACCTCAGCACCAGTTCCCAAACGGCCTCTTCGCTCTTCACGTTCAGCTCATCGGCACCTACCAACCCTCTAAGCTCTTCGATAGGCAGATAGAGGACCTCATCGCTTCTTTGCGCGACCTGTAGTAAACGCGTGTCATTTTCAATGATACTTATAAATAAGTTGACCTCTTTTACGAACTTGTACAAAGTGCCGCATGACGTAACGATGCGCGTCCGTTTCAAGTAATTTACAGAAATGCTCTCGCGCGAATCGCATAACTCCAATGCAATTTTCCGGCGCTAGATTCTGCCTGAGATAGTCGCAACAAAGATCCAGGACTCCAAGTATACTGAGATAGTCTGCTGTTACCAAAAGTTGACAAACGTTTTCACGGTTCACCTCCAGTGAACGTAGGTACGCGTACTCCAGTAAAAGGTTCATCATGCTGCTGTTGACTCCGGGTAGGAGGATATCAGTTTTCTCGCGAGAGTGCAAAGTAGTAGTGAACAGGGCCCTGGATTCCAGGTAAAATATTAGTCATTGAGGTAATAGGAAGAAATTTTGTTTTCTTCAACTTTGTCAATTTTCCCGAACCTGAAGTAGGTGCTACAGGCTGATAATATCGCTCGATGAATTGGAAATACTCCGCCATCTTCAAGACGCAGAATTGCATCGCAGAGCTGATTGTTCTGACGGAGGTCGTAAAGCGATTGCATTGCTTGAGTACTCATACATCGGCCGCCATTTTCAACGATAAGACGCTGCGCATTGCTGCTACAAGAGTCCGCGTTATTATTTCCGGTATTGTCGTTGTTCTTGTTGCTAGTAGTCGTGTCCACGTCCATATCAGATATCAATATCCTTTGGAAGTTCGTCAAGAAACGTCCAACGTCCGAAAATCTTTCAGCGTCGAAAAAACTTTTGACATAAATATGATATATGTCAAAATGGCTGCTAATTAAAGATTGAAGGTGTTTTGAAACGTAAAACTTACTTTGGCCACTTTGGAATAACTTAGGAAAATTTTCTAGCCCACGCTGGAGGTTAGTCGAAAACTTTTACTTGTCTATCTCGATGATTTGCTCAGTTGATGCGTCGACTTGAAATTTTGAAAATTCTACTAGCGATTTGGTTTCAATGGATTATCAATTGGTAACTGCGGATGGGTTCAACCGAACAAGTTGGTCTTGTGGAAGAGGCTGTTCATACGGGATGACAGGTGAATCAGCGATTTGGATCGTGGGCTGTATTGGGTCTAATGAAGTGGAGAAGAGAGGAAGAAGTGGGTGGACTGACAGAAAAGATACAAACTATTTTGTGTGATTTTAAAAGCGAGTAAATGTCGCCTCTGGCTGTGACATAGGTCTTACATGTCCGCCGATCAGTCAAGGACTGTCAATTGACAAGAGAAGATCGGTTCTCTTAATTCACGTGAGCTTAACATTAGAAGGCGTGGATAATAAATTATTAGATAATGGTGAAAGAGCAAAGTATAAATTACAAAAGAGTATATATTTATATATTTTATTGTACAAAATCAATAAGACTTGCTGAATTGGCAAGTATACCTAGCGCACTAATAATATCACTCGACGTAAAGCAAAACTGAGTATCGATTCAGGCACTGAAATCTTATTAGAATATCTTTCTTTGTTAATCAAACTTCTCTCGTTGCTTTACTTTGCACTTCGTTTGCGATGATTTTCGGTACCTGTGACTGTAGCATTCGCACTGTTGTTCATACGACAGACTCACAATCCTCACATTAAGCGCTACTGATGTTCTCGTCACCACCAAAAACCTCCTTACACGTTTTCATGGGTCACGAAAGCGCGATTCTATACCCATCTGGAAATCACTCCTAGATCGTATTACTGAATCCCTTCATCGATTTTTATCAAGGTTTCTCGACTCTTCGATATCCTGGATCGCCAAGACTTCCGGCTCCGATTCGAAGTCTACATCCTCTTCAGAATTCGCTTGCTCATTCTCATCGTCTTCGTTGATCACTTTAACCCTCGTTAAACTCAGTTGGTCTTTATCGTCTTTGATCTCGTTATCGCTTCGTTCCTTCCTGTAATTCAATGCTGATGTACCTACAATCGAATTATCAAAGACGCCCATTGACAACGTGGAGCAAGTTTTTGCATATTGACCATTGCTCCAAATATTATCCAGCAAGGAATTCCACTTTTTAAGAAACCTCTCATCCTTACTCGCCCCTCTATTCTGATTAACAATGATCTCCTTAGCCTCTGGCTGAGGTGCATCGACCTCAACCTGATTTTGTCCAAATAATCGAAACGTCCAAGTAACTGCCGCAAATGTAGCAGCGTTGGTAGGAAATGCTCGAATTATAGTTGAATTCAATCCTCTAAACAAGCATGCATAGCCTTCTGCTTGGATGGATTGCCGATAGCAGTCTAACGCATTTGCGTATCGACTACTAGGCGCAGCCTGAAGTCTGGACTTGATCACATCAAGAGGGTAAGACACGACCCACGATGCAGTTCCTGCCAATCCGCCCGCCATAAGCATTGTAAGCGTCGAAGTGGGCGCGGACAATTCATTCCTCGTGAGAGCCTCGTAAGTGAAGAAATAAATACCATAACTGGGTGCTTCTCTGAGCAAAGTAATTCCCAGTCCATTAAATATCCCACGGAAACCTTCAGTTCTGTAAATATGTTTCAGGACATGCAGTGGACCAACAAATTGAGTTCCAGTTGACGATTGCAGCTGCAACCGCGTCTTCGCCAATTCCATGGGACTACAGATAGGCGTCTGTGCAATTCCAGCCGAAGCCCCAGCCAGGAAGTGTGAGTACAGTGCCTCCGGATTTGAACTATTTCGATGAGTGTGTCCATATATACCAAAAACAATGGCGTTTATCACAGCGACACCTGCCATGGGAGATGACATCCCTCGATAGAAACCTGCTATCTAATTATAATAATTACATTTATTTATTTATTTATTTATTTATTATCTATAATTTGTCTTTGCCCACTAGCTCCTTACCGATTCCTTTGCAAGGATCGTTCGAAAGCAGTGCCAGGTCCCTCTGTACTTTGGATTTCGATAATCTTGCGTCTGGATGTGGACCTTGATCGTATCCAAAGGATATCCCACCATAATACCCGCGCATCCTGAAAGGTATACAGTGAATAATAATGCATTTCGAGTAATAAACTCACATAGAACTTTAATACAAATATGCGAATATCGAATGAGTGTTTCGTAGTATGATTGATAACACTTTAATTAATACTAGAGAGAAGTGGATACGACCGGTTAGTACAAAGACATAATAATAATAACAAATCGATAAAAGCCAATCGAATCACGATATGGTTCTATCTTTTTCCATACGATCGGAATCAGACGAACTTCGATCATGCTTCTTCCACGTATAATGCACGTTGATATCCCGAGAAAATATGAACAAATTCAATAAAATTCATGCGAGTAATATGATCCGTGACAGGGTTGACCTTTGATATTTCATCATGCTGAAATAGCAATAAAATATCAATTGTCAAAATCCTTTTCTCAAAACGTCGACCACGACATTGACCTACCATTCCGCAACGCATTATCCAGACATGATATCCTTATCGATGAAACGATAAAAAATCAAATTGAAAAATGTTTTCAAAACAAAAATGCACAACGAACATCAGTGCTCTGGCATTTATAAGTCGTGTTATTATATTTTCATCTATATTAATTTTCTTTGGCCTTTACCTCCCACACAACCAGCGGCAAAATCGAGGGCCATGCTTGACCGGTAATTTTCTTCGTTAAACTTTCCTTCCTAAGACACGAATGTTGTCTCACACTAGGATTCCTCTTCCTCGGGGCTTGATTCAGGTACGTGGTGCAGGTCGTATATGCGCTAGCTTCAGGGGCTACAATCGTAAACTCGGAATCCATGAAACATCGGCCAGTGCTCTTTAAAACTCGATACTGAAACAAGTAACGAAGGTAAATATCATACACTATCTGTCGTAACAAGTTGAACTCACCTTTTGCCCACTACGATTGCTCGTGTGTGATAAGTCTTTTATTTCTCTTTTTTTTCTTTTTTTCGTGCAAGTCGAGGTACTAGTGACTTTCGTGGTACAAGAGTTTGACTCGAAACTACGAAGTTATCCGTAAAATTAATGATCACAGTTTTTGGCCTGATGCAAAATTTTCAAGACAAGGATACACGCTCGAATATCGTAAGTCGAAAACAAATTCTTTTTTCTATTGAAATTTTCATGAGTAATTGTTGGAAGATAACGTAATAACTTTGTCCTTCTGGCATTATTATATATTATTGCCATAAAAATACTTGAAATTGCTTTATTTTTGTATAAATATATATTATATAACATTCAAGGCTAATTATTATCAAGGAAATTCTTATTTTTATTAAAAACCAATTTTTAAAGCAGATCATAATTTTAATGTCACGATGACATACGTCAGTATTAATATGTTGTATATTCTCTTGCGAAAGGATGTGACGGTTACTTGAAAGATGATGATACCAAGTCTCTTGTTATCAAGAGTTCCTTGCATTTTGCGCCAAGTAAATGTTTGCAATGATATTCATAAATATGTTCCAGATGCACACAGAAGTAACTGATAATTTGTTATCAATTGATTATTGGTCATTTGGTTAATCAATTGTATGCAAGTTTACCATTATTGCCAATAAAAATAATGAATTGACAGATACGGTACAGATCAATACTCTCTTATTACTACTTAGTCCAATCGTTCAATTATATTTGTCAATCGTCTCCATATGCATCCAGTTGCAAGTAACGCACAGTGCACTTTTATTGTAAATAAATATTCTGCTTTCATATTATAATAAAATATACTTATTTTCCTTGTTCCAATAAAATTGCACTTACCGTTAAACGATTAAAAATGAATTTTATGGAAAAAAATTTGTTTCTTCTTTCACTTACCAGTTGGTACAGCATCACTTCATTTCCACACGAGCACAGCTGTACATCCTTGCACGGTTTTTTAAGATGCCAATTAAGAAAATCTACTTTTGACAATATATTCGAACAAGCTTTTATTAAGTCTCACAAAATAACGAATAGAAGACCTATGGCTTCTCTTCGCAATTTCTACACTCGGACTGAATCTTGCAAATTCTTGAACCAGCTTTCCCAAGTTATAGAGCAAAGATCATCAAACATTTATCTCATTTGCGATAAACGAACCAATATGCTTATATACGTACTCCGATGTTGTAAAGTTATTGTTGAAGGGGATCTTCAATATTTGTAATTTTCGTTGCGACCTGGCGCTAAGATGGGGCAGCTCGGGTCAGCCGATAAGAAATGCTTTTTCAACTACGAATACTTCTATCCACTCTGTCAACGGTGCAAAAGCTTGGTACAATAAATGTAGTAACGATGAAAATAAGCAAATGTCCAAAAATTCTTTTAGATAACGATTAAATAAAACCCAATTCATTATTATATTTTTAAAAAACCAAGAATCATTATTAATCGAATTAATAATAAACGGCATATTATTTATACGGCTCATCAATATCCTTATCCGTATATACGCATATACATATATGTAACCAAGTACTCTGCAGATACTCGTCTGGATAGTTATGAATGGTTTTGCGCAATCACAATCGCCACTGAAATTATTTTTCTCTTTAACCACGGTAGCATTGTTATTATTTTGTAAGAACGTCATAAAAACGATTTGTTTAAGATTATTTGCAAATAACGTTCTCTTCATAATTTCTACTATCAGTCGCTCGTTAACTCTATTATACTGATGGTGCAACGATATACGAAATTGGTTGATAATAAATTGGTATACAGAGTATCACGTGACGAGACCATTGATCCCTCTCTTATAATCAGATTTAAAAGAAATAGTAAAGACATACGAACTTCAAAACGGTTTATACGTGATACATAATATTTACTTTTAGTACGCAAATCACGATAAATGACAAATTCTCACGTATTATCTCTATATACGCATACGAAGATCATGTCCTCATCATACATGCGATATATCAAACTAATTAGGCTCTTTAAACATAATAATAATATCTCTGAAGACTCTTGAATGTTATTTTTATTGAATAATAAATTCATTAAAGATATTCGAAGTATCGTATAGAGAATATTTAGCTATTCGTCGTTATAGATTTAAAATATTTTTTAAAATTCTACCACCAAATAATTGGATTACGGGTTGTTTCATAATAGATGCCACAATGGCTGTCAGGTACGTTAAAGTATCTTTTTTATATTGCTGAAAGTCCCATTACTAACTTGGTCGCTTCTACCTTTTATGAGGATTTACGTTAAAAGCTTAGCTCGAGTACAATGGATAATGGATACCATACGTATTGTCACGTAATGTATGATTGTTCTTGATGACAATGCTATTATACAAAATGAATTAATTTTGACAGATAATAAGAAGATTAGGTTAGACAATATATTTTTTATATCTCATATCATTATAGTACAGGAAGAATGTTTGATTGCTTAAAGTGGGCAGATCGTTTTCAGTGAATAACGTCGCGATTTATGACAAATCTTGACCTGTTGCTTAAGCGTCTCCTGATAACGGTCTGCGCACATGTATTTTCGTATGGCTGATATGTGCATGCGCTTTCGACGTATTTATGATTCATTAATACATGATACGTATTATATTATGATATTAGGATTAATTAATACGTATTCATGATCGTAACCTGTCAATGTTACGCATAAGAATTTTTAATACGCTCATTCGAGAAAACCTTGAAAAATGTTTCTGGAAAAACTTCAAGGATCGTTAGGGGATAATAATTGTTTATACATTTTTTTTTTAGTTGTTGGTATAATTATATGTACGTGACACAAATTAGCTTAAGCCATTTTATTAATATACGATCACTCGTTAGTAATGACAAACGAATAAAGTCATATGACGACGAGGCGCGGTGTGTTGTAATTATCGGTATGATAACGGTAATTTAACGGTATCAAGTATATTTTGCAAATTTTGCAAAAAGACTCCTTAAATATGATTACACCTAAAATATATATTTAGTAATTGTTCAATAAGAGCAAGAACAATAATATGATATATAACAATAAATAAATTAATATAATATATATAAATAGATAATTTATGTTTCTAATATACCACTGTATCATGAAAGCATGTAGTATAGATATAGTTGTTCCAAGAGTACAATAACTTAATGTGACAGAGTCACGTATTTCGTACTAGGTTGAGTAGTGTCCAATTTCGCAATGCTAATGGTCTTTGCTGAAGCTAAATAGTACATTTTGAAAGATTTTCCATCGACTCACCACTCGTTACCTTGAGTAAAAAAAGTATTGGCACTGGAAAATATTGCTAGAGGCCTCTGATTTTACTTGCGGACTGTACATGCAGTATTGTAAGCATGAAGTTCTGATCTCTCACTAGATGGCGACATCTGACCGGTAAAGAATAGTAGATAACGTAGATCTCTTCCTAGCTTCTCCAGTCAGCCATATCAAACTGTTCCGGCGCATTCATCCCCCATGAGAGAAATATTGATTTCCATGTCCCACTGTCCACATCATATCCCCACGACACTAGCGCAACAAGAACGTTCCATAAGGGCGTTCCAGTTGCCACATTACCTTGAACACTGACCAACCTTCATAAATTCCTTAAAAACCCTACTGCAAGAGTGTCATACTGTTGAGAAAAAAATGACCAAAATACTGTTTTAAAAAATAAACCACTACCTCAAGCCCTTTCTAAAGTCCCATATCAATAACGTACAAAGATATACCAGTTTCTAAACCTAGTGAAAAACATCATAGTGCAAGGTAAGTCCACAGGTTTTATTGTCGCGTGTATTTTTGTCCAACTGCACTAAAAAGAAGACGGGTCGGAGTCGAAATCTTGATATGCATATTCGGAACCACAATCGGTGCACCGACAGCTGTATGAATTAGTAGAAGAAATGCAGTGCGTGCACAAATCCAACGAGGGCGCGAGTATCAGCTGGACGAGTGGTCGTGCTAAATATACACGTCGAGGCACGCGGTGTCTGACAAACTCGGCGTCCAATTCCTTAACCCCGAACGTCGACAGAGCCTTTCCTTCGTTTGACGGTACGGCGTAAAGAGCAGGCGACGCTCTGCGGGAGTGTTGAGGCAATTGGTACGCGGTAGAAATCAGTTGTAGCGCGTTATTCAAGGGGTAGGGAAACGAAGGCTCCATATTGGGACCTGATTATAAATAAATTAGGCATAAACCTTGAAACGGTATTGAGAAGTTTTATTTGAAGAAAATTGAAAATCTTCAACAAGCATTCGTTGCGACATTTATTTTTCAGGTTGGACGTTCCTGACGTCACGTACTCACGTGGTGGCCGGCTACCTTGGTAAGTGAGCAACCGCGTGGCGTCGTACCTCACATACACTTTTATAGTTGTGCATATATATATATATATATATATATATATCAGAGTTTTTATATGTGACTGAAGCTGTGAATCTACTACGTGCGAACTAACATTTGAATTCGTGAGAGCAGCCGCTCAGTGATGTAATTACGAGCGCGTGTTTCTGCAGACTGTTCTTGGCCTTGTCGTTTTACTGTTGGATTGTTTGAACATTTTTATTTAATTATTTAAATTATTATTATTAATTGAGAAGGTACTTATCTAGTAATCATTTATACTAATCGATTAATCAGTTATACGGATACTGCGTTGGTGTTAGGAGTGTACTTATAATTGTGAAAAGAGATTTAAAAATATTTAAAAATTATAAGTGTTGAAACGAATAAGGTTTGTACGAAAAATTTGAGTAATTTATACATTTTATTTCGTTAATAATTTATAATTCCCAATGACGTGTCTGTCATCAGCAATGAAATTTTTATATCACCTCTTGGCTCTGTCATTAGTTACACGTATGTATATCTATCATTATAGATATGGTTGTTTTTAAAGTAAGCGAAATACAATCCCTGTGATATTACGTTACTATGAAATGCCTTCAAGAAAAAACAAAAGATTGTTGTTTCAGTTTTATACTGTTATCTATTATATATCACGTTTCTCCTTTCAAAGAATAGCTGATTACTGGTCGTACTCTTTGTTCGTTAAATTGAAAATTATCGACGTAAATGATGGTAGAATAGTCACTACAGTGCACAGGATCAATAACGCCACTCCACACGTTAATAGACATGAACAAGTATTTACGTCGATATCATACTAGATACGTCATGTACGCACACATTTCTATATCAGGTGCATCAAATTGAAATTACTAAAAATCAATTAAAGAAATACGCGTGTATCACATTATACAATTTTATAATATATGTATATAATAATATATAATAACTACCATGCTAGAATCTGTACAAATTTAGTTATTCGATTTGCACTCGTGAATTGGCTAATTCGATTGACCCTGACAAAACGGTACGCGTAAGAAGCAAGGATACGAACGTGAGATTTTTCCATGAGTTGGGCAACTAGCCAAATTTACTGACCCGCGCAGATAGGGAAAGTTTAACACGTGACTGTAGTTGGCAATGGCTACTTCTAGTTTAACGTCAGTAAATAATGTCTAACCCTTATGACGATTATTCACAGATAGAGATGAACATTCCGAAAACGGACGCTCTGTTGTCAGTCGTATTACCAAGTGAAATTCCAACTTCGCCCAGTTCACAACAACTTTTAAATCGGGACCAACAGGTATTTTCGATAAAGTTTTCTTCTGAGGATTCTATTTTTGTAACCGCGTTATTTATTTATTTATTTTTCTTTCACAGGACGAGGAGGCATCTGATTGTCCACTTCTCACGCCAAGCCCACCTCCTGAACAAATGCACAAGCCTTTGGAAACTGCCGCTATTTTTAATCCACTTGAGGATACACCGTTAGAGATGACACCTACAGAGGCTTTGGAAAATATTAATTCCGAGGACGGTCTTAATGCATATATGAACATTGTGAACAGTTGCAGCAAACCCCTGAACGATGGTACGTAGATTGACAATAATTATCCACTTAATAACATGGATTGGGATAAAGATTTAACTATATCATACACCTGCTATTTGTGCATTATTATGGACAAACGCCAAGGCAGCATTCTCTTCTACCTTGTTAACTTGGTGTCAGATATTTAAGTAATTTGCAGGCACCAAATTCATTTTCACTTTGCTACAGGCTTTACCTATAACACTGTTGACGACGGCAGTTTTTACATTGCGGCATTTCATTGGATTCTAGCAAAGTAGTGTTAATCGAATATCCGAATACAATCCAATAAATTGAACGAGACACAACTTTGATACACCGTATTTGAAAATTAATATTCCTCAATTTTCAAGGAAGAATAATTTATCGGTATTTATAAAAATATTCCTATTTTCCGATATTTAGTAAAACTAAATTATAAATATGTCTTCGATGCGGCTGATATTCAATCTTGTTAACGTTACGTAACGTTAAAATGCCCACACGATCGAATATATTCACGGTGATAATTTAGCCTATTAATAAAATCAGACAAGATCCTCACTACTATTTAATTTCACTGTTACAATTTTATAATTTTGCCTGTTAATAAAATCAGACCAGATCCTCACTACTATTCAATTTCACTGTTACAATCCAAACCATTCGGTATTGTCTTCTACAGTCAGTATATCAACTAAGCGCCAGGCACATGTCTCGCATCAATTTAGTAATTGTACTTGACTCATTTATCAATCACTTAACCTCGTTTTACAATGAGGAGTTGTCACGCAAAATAACTGTCTGCAAGACTCGTTCAGGACACGCAGAATCATCGGCTCGATTATATTACTCATCATTGTGATTCACATCACAGCCAAGCTGCACTGTAAATACTTGTGAATAGTGAATGCTGATTTATTACACTAATCTTATTGCATTTTAGAACCAAGTTCAAGGGATCCAATGGTAGAATCTACCAGCAGCAGCGAAAGTGGCAGTGATACCAATGAACCAGTATGTACTCAACTATTGACCCAGTTGAATACCGCTTATCATCATTTAGCACCCGACGCACAGGCTCTGGTAAGTAAACAGAATTTCCTTTATTCCTAAAAAGTCATTGATACGATTAATACACCGTTACGAAATGATTCTAACAGCGAAAGATACTCCCTACATACGTATTCGCCGATTTTACATCAAGGAAATCGCTCATTGGACAACGCACCAAAACAAATGACAGCTGCCAACTGTCTATTTTATATACATATAAATCATTTTATCGCGTTACTTAACACCTGCTACTTGGCTCGCCACGACCAATCATTCATTTCTCAAATGATCTTAATAAACTCAATCTCATCTTACGCATATGACATAGTAGTTGGTTGGAAGTGTTGTCGATTTTTTGTTTTTTGACACCATCGACGTCAAGTCTTTTATATATATATATATATATATATATTCATTCGGATAACGCTTTGTATTTTTGACAAATTTCTAAATATGCAAAACACACATTTTTTGTTTGATACCGTGGCTACCAATGCATGCTTCTTGAATACTTTCTGCAAAAGTAACCCTGACTGTTATTTTTTGGACTGAATTCTTAAGCTGTTTGGCACGGATAAGAAATTCCATCCTAAATACACTCTACGACATATGTACCAATTGTACCATATGCACCAACCAACCATATGCACCAATTGTATCGGACTCTCGAATGCTTTGCGTTACTTTTCAATTGACTATTTTTTTGGTCTTTGTCACCACATGGGTTATCAATTCCACCTGTCAAATCAAATTGACACTATATAGATAGTGTTGTATTTCAAAATAGTCTAGTGAATATTTCTATCGCTTTGACTTTGGAACTTAAACGCGCGGTCGCAGCTTAACCAATCTATATCTTACTCCGGTCGTATTGTCAGTGTCAATCATTTATTGACAGACTGACATTTCCGCTTCTTAAATAGCTGTTAAACGCAAAAACCAAGACATCGCCTGATGATTCTTGGACGATCCATCGGAGGCAGGGAGATTTATAAGTCTGTACTAATATGCTTTTTTGCTTTCTAACACCATCGAAGACTAAAGCCATAACTCTTCAGTTTTACAATCAGGAGAATGGCGGGAAGCCTCCACTCGTTGGGATTCAATTGGTGGTACCAAAGACCCCCAAGGACTACAGATTTATGTCATGGAATTGGCCGTTAATTCGAAAGACTTGCTTCTGGTCCTTTATGTCTGTACTTGTTGGATGCGCTGCACTAGTTATCGGTGTTATCGCCACCATGCCAAAAAGGTACGTCAAGATCCAATTACAAAGAAGACTAATGCGAAAGTCAAATCTTGAAGCGTTTCTATTGGATGAGTCATATAAACGATATACTTGTAAAACCCACGAAAGAAGTATTACTGATGGAACAGAAAATAACAGCTGCAGATATGGGCAATGTTAGAAATTTTTATTTACCGATGTATAGTTACATACAACTGGTGGTTTATGACTATTTCATCACTGAATAGAAAATTTTAATATAGTCCATTTGTAATTGTTACTTTGCGTTCCTGTGGGCAATAAATATTTGTACAATTTTCTAGGATTTTACGTTTTTGGTTAGCGCACAAAACGGGTTTAGTAATTGTATATTAGCAGCTAGGTTGGAAGAAAATTATTGCATAATATATGTGCTGATCAAACATAAAATGTAAAGTCCCATAAAGCTGATCGTTAATATGTTTTCTTAGTACGAAAAATGTGTAATTTATTATTATAAGCAATAAAAATTAACATGAATATTATAAATCTAGGTGCGATCCACCAGCCGAATGGTGGCAGGGCAGCCTCTTCTATGAGATCTTTCCAGCATCCTTCCAAGACTCATTCCATATTGGAGACGGCGTGGGAGATATTCCTGGGATAATAATGCGACTTGATTATCTGAAAAATCTTGGAGTTCAGGGAATTCGATTGAATTCGATTTTTCCAGCTACTCATTACCCAGAACATTTTTCAAATATAACCAGCCTAATGGATATTGAGCCCCATCTAGGAACGATGAGTAATTTTACGTCTTTAGTATCGGAAATACACCGAAGAAACATGACCATCATGTTAGATATACCACTGCATCCGTTCGTAAAAGATTTCGGCGAGGAAACCTTTCACTCTTCAGAATTAAACAATGCAGATAAAGCGGTGCGTGAGAGAAGTGCCTCAATTTTACCGGATGTCACACCAACGCCTGAACCATCTGCTCTTCTTCAAGTGCTAACTGTTCTCTCGACAGTTCCTTCAGCATTGGAAATGCCAAAACCAGAAGTTCTCTCGTTGCACAATTACGTGACTCCAGATCACGTGGTCACGGCAGCCATTAAATTTTGGATGAGGAAAGGTGTCGATGGATTCTATCTGAAGGGACTGGAACACTATGTCAAAGAGAAAAACTTTGTTGAACTTTTGAGACATTGGAAAACTATACTAGGTCCATACCGGATATTGATCTGCGACATGGCTGTATTACAAGACGCACCAAATGATCTTGTCAAGAATGTAATACTGAATAAAATAGATCTAGTAGACGTGACATTGCGTGTCAATAATGGAACCCAGGATATAAAATATCAAATTGGAAATATTACCAGTGGCGTCCTGTTCGAAAAACCAGGCAATCCTTGGGTTCATTGGTCAATCGGAAGTGTGAATACCAAACGGATTGCATCTACACTAAGTGTTGGGAATGCTAGTATAGCAGTTGCTCTATTGGGGCTGATGCTTCCTGGAACACCTAGTATATTCTATGGGGATGAGGTACGATAATATAATTAATAAGAATAAGTCAATTTCATGATGACAAAATATAATTTATTTTAATTCTTTTATTATCATTAGATAGGCCTTATGGATTGTGATTGCAAGGATCATCAGGATTTAGCACACGTTCATAATTTAGTCCCTATGTTATGGGACAGCAGAGATGGTTCCGGAGTTAAATTTTCATCCCACGGTACTATCCCTTGGTTAACAGGATCCACCAAATCATCGGAAACCACTCTAACAGGAACTATCTCAGAAATGGCTAAGCTGAGACACGTTACACCTGGTTTATACGTTAAGGCGATATATAAGGATACCAATGGTACAGTTAATTGTGATGTCAGGTAATTGAATTAATTTAATATTCATCGTTAAAAGAAAATTAACAATATACATATAACGAATCGAATATTTTTTCAGATACACGGTAGATGAACTAATCGTGGTCGAACGATGGTATCCACGTAGAAATTCATATGTTTTCGTAGCTAATCTTAGCAACGAAACACGTACTAAGGATCTTTCATTCCTTTATTATGGCGGACACGTTGTTGTGGGGCCAACCAGTAAACTCAACCGGAACGTATATTTCAAGGAATTAACTATTCTACCTGGCGAAGCTTTTGTTATAAAATTGGATAAGTGAAATGCGAGTCTCGTTACGATGAAACTATTTTCAATTCGTTAGAGCCTCGAATCCGTTGTTTGAATTAAACGTTCGAGTTAAGTTTACCGATGATTTCGTTTTACATACTCATATTAACCATTCTGTAAAAATCATCCGCAACGATTAATAATCCTACCACATGAGACTCGCGGGTTTCCGGACTTGACTGAACTTGATCAAATGTTCCTTTGATGGGAAATACTATTTTCATTGAACAATTCACGACGTGAATTTCGAATACGTAAAAGGAAGTGACGGATTACAAATAAGTTTGTTTTCTATTAATTATTATCGAGCCGACGAATTTTATGTGTTGCGCATTTCACATTCCACATGAAGAAACGACCCAACGTCATTTCTTTTTGTCGTTTCTAGTGGAAAGCGATTTTTGTATAAATTTGCGAGTGTATGCGTACTTGAGTTAATTTAAAAATGGCGTTACGAATGGCGATGGAAGGTCCATTTAGCATTTTCAAACGCGTTGAGATTACTTAAATGCATGCATCGTTTTCTTCTATTATTCGTATCAGACTTTCGGACAATAATTCTGTATAATTAAACAAAACCATAAGACTGGAATGTTAACAATGGTGAACACTTTTAGCGTCCGTAATTGTGATTTAACATTTAAGTGCTCACATCTCGTCCACAGAGACCCCAAGAGCCCTTACTTCTTATGGGTACGAATTTGACGCGAACACTTAAACGTTAAAAATGGATTCCATTCGTAAAAAGACATAAGCAAGAAAGAATTGATACGCAAATTCATCCCTTTCGCCAATTTACCTAAAAATTGAAAGTAACCCGCGTTATGGATCTCAATTATGATTCTTATGAAACAATGGTTTTTCTTATATTCTATACATTGGTTGATATTCTTGTTATGATCTAAAAGATTTAAGCATTTTGCATGAAACAATAGAGGTATTAAAATAAATTCTGTTTGTATAAACATTACGAGAGATTGAGAACCTACTGTATCTATTTCTCACAAGTGGTTCACTATGCTATACTTCGGTATATAAGTATCGTAGTACAGTACACTAAACGAGGTTCCCTCAATCCCCACCGCGGAGCTACCATCGAAGTCCTCAGTGACTCTCAAATTGCTCTGGGGAAGGTCCTTGGATCTCGGGCAGAAAGTGCCGTAGTGTAATTACGCTACTAGCCTCCGCCGTCTTTACTCTCAATTCAAGACAGGAAGCTCTTTGGGCTGATCTTGGAGTTGGGCGCGAGAGTATTGGTCAGAGTAAAGCGATGTGTTGGGGTCGGTATCTTCAAAGTTTACGTTGGGATCCGATAACTAAACAGGGCCTATTCCGAGGAAACTTCAATCACTCTTTTTATATTTAACCTATTTCTTCTATTCATACTTGGATATACTTGCCATACATGCGATATATTATTATTACTCTGAATTATTTCACAAACTTTACGTCACAACTTTTCTAAGAACTTTGCTATTCTTGGATTTAAGTAGATCTTATCGAGTGGAAGATATGTCAAATAAACTAAAAGTGACAAAGTTTGTTGTATATCGCTTTGAAAAATAGCAAAAACTGAAACATCATTTGTCAACTAATACTGCACATGTAGGTGCTCAGTGTGCCAAACTGAAATTTAATTAAATTTACCATTTCTCTTGATCGATGTAGTCAAACACTTTGTGCAACTTCAAGTCTATTCACACTGAAAGCTCCATGTTATTTGATGATGTACCGACTACTATGTCAATAGGTAGTACTATGTGTATAAAAGAATAATGAATGTGACCATTTGAATGTCGATACTAAAATTCTCTGTTTTCACATGTGTGAATATAAGATTGTTTTATAGGCATCAGTGATTTCACCTAATAGTCAGAAACCTTAATGTACCACACCACCACTAAAATAAAACCCCCCATATAGGTATTCTTCTGAAATATCATTATTCTGTTATGCCGGTGAATATTTATATGGTATATTGTATTTTCGATACATTGGCATTTCGGAGAATGATCATTGATGGAATTTCATTGCAGTGGTGCGATATATTACAGTTTTTGAGCTCTAATAATAAGTGAAATCATTGGTAGACGTTTGAAAGGATATACAGATTGAGGATAAACGTTCGTATTTAAATAAAATTCCGACGATTAAATAACATTTTTGGAAATATATATTTCTGCGACTTCTCGCATTTTCTATCTTACACGTTGTTTCCGTTAGAAAATGTTTTGTTGCAATTATCATGTACTATATTAGGTTTTGAATACTCTGTTAAATATGGCGTAACATTTGATATTTTGTATTCAGCTACCGAGTGCACGCATGGTATATTCTTGTAAAGTATTACTATTGCCTACGGACAATATAATTATAATTGACAATTATGTTGTTAGATGTAAAAGAAAATATTTTGGATTGAATACTTTCTTCTGTACATGTATTGCAAATTTCCGAAATTTTTTCAACTTTTTGAAGATCTTTAAACTACCGTCAAGGTATAGTTTACTGTCGGTTGTTCGTTAACGGATAAGGAATAACAATGTACAGTTGTACGACTGACGTAGTGGATATTGTAAAAGTGTATAATAAATGATAATTAAAATAAAGAAAATCACGCATGAATTCATTTGCTAAGTTTACACTGATAGCAATTTATTTAAGGATTATTTATAGAAAAGGCTAACACTGATGAAAATAATTTTCTGTATTTGTTTTGTAGGTATAAGTAATTCACTAGCATGGAAAAAAATAGTAAAATCATATAAGATATATGACTATCATTATGTTCGCTGCTCCTGGAAGCTCTTTCAACTCATCACAATCCATTTGTTGAAAATTATTCATACTTCATACGCATCTTCGAATATTATTGACATTTCCTTAAATGATAACTCTGAAATGGAATATTTAAACATGATAAAAATATGTACATAAATGAAAATAAGTTTAATTTCTTAGATTTCATATACTAACATCTTCTGCTATTTTTGTGAGAGTTTCAGCCACTGCGTGTCCAACTTGTTGAACCATATTATAGAACAAACTATGTTTATTTTGCAACAAAGTGAATGGATGATCGAATTCCTAAAATGGTAAAACGTTAATATATTAAAATTAGTTACGAAACAAATCTGACTATGTATAATTGGACGAATAAACAAATTATTTAAATAAACTTACCACCATGGTTCCTGCATCCATAACCAGAATCTTACTGCTATCCATAACCGTATTCAGTCTATGTGCTATCGTAAGTACTGTACAATTTTCAAATTTTCTTCTAATGGTTTTTTGAATAAGAAAATCAGTCCGTGGATCTACGTTAGCTGTAGCTTCATCAAGCACCAAAATTTTATTATTCCTAACAATGGCTCTAGCTAAACAAAGTAACTGCCGCTGCCCCACACTGAAATTCGAACCACCTTCTTGTAATTTTGTATTCAAACCAGCTGCCAATTCGTTCACAATTTCCTTCAGTTCAACCTCTTCAAGAGCCTGCCAAAGTAAATCATCCGAATACTCATCGAAAGGATCCAAATTTCTTCGTACTGTTCCTGAGAAAAGCACAGGCTCTTGTGGAATAATACTAATCTTTGAACGAAGATCGTGCAATCCCAAAGATTTTGCTGACACATTGTCAATCAAAATGTCTCCTTCGATAGGTGCTAATCGAAATAGAGCGGCAATTAAAGATGATTTTCCAGCACCAGTTCTACCAACGATTCCTATCTTCTCACGTGGCATTATTATAAAATTTAAATTTCTCAGCACTGGAGGATCTTCAGGAATATATGTGAGGTACAAGTTTTTAAATTGCACACGTCCTTCCGTTGGCCAATTCTCATTTGGCTTATTATCAGGTGTACTCTCTAATGGTGGTTCTTGCTCTAATTTACAATATTCCAGGATCCTTTCAGTGGACGTCATTTGGTTCTCCACTACAGCTACTTGACGTATGCCCCATTGTAATATTCCTGTGAGTCCGATACACTGGCTGATTACCAAACCCAGGTTACCCACATATATGGAACTACTAAGCAGTACTAAACTGAAGGTGATTGTGGTAGTATAAAATAGACAAGCTATATCAAGATAAAACGCAAAGGCTCTTGAACCAGATATAGAGATGAACCAGGAAGAAGAGTGAAGATCTTGATGGCTATCGAATTCAGATATTAATGTGTTTTCAGCATCGAATGATCTGATAGTTGCTAAACCTTGAAGAGTTGCACTGATGTGACCAAACACTGGAGATCTAGCTGTAAGGAAATTGAATTTTAATCGTTATCTAAAATTAGTACAGAGAATGTTGCAAATGTGTTGAGGTGTTATTTTTAAACTTACTTATGCCCTCTAAACGTTTCACGCTACGACTGGTACTAATGTAAAATATTGCTAATAGATAATATATTAATCCTGCACAGGCTGTGGGAATCATCAACCATGGATTTACAGAGGCAACTATAATGATCACAGCAATTACCAGTAGACTAACTTGTATAACGTCGATCATACCCATAGGCAATCTTACGTCCACAGCTTCCATGTCTTTGGAGAATCTGTATAAATGAAAACAAATATGTGTATATAAGTATGGAAGTACCATTTCTTGTTACCAATGTATATAGTCAAACAGTTGATAAAAACTGTTTTTCAATCCTTTAGAAAGTTTTCGAATTTACTTTTAATTATCTTATTTAATGGATAATTAAATTTATAAAATTTTTGTACGCAAGTGTATGTCTATCTGCTTATGGGGTCAGTTACCTATTTAAAATCCTTCCTGATGTATTGGAATTGAAAAATCGCATAGTAGCACGGATGATACTATAGAACATATCAGCATGTAATTTTCTTGAAGATCTCATACAAACTCCAAAAAAGGCGAAAGTTCTTAAAAATGTCAATATTATAGTAGCTACAGTAAAACCACTGTATAAGTAAATGCACCAGTCTCGGGAAAGAAACGATTGCCATTCTGTTTTCGTAGTCCCATTCGTATGATTCACGAATGCTTCCTCAACGTTAACCCAATACGCGATGAAGTAATCTCCGCCGCTAGCAATAGTTTGATTAAGTATACAAATAACAAACATAGACAATACAAGGCACGTGTTTCCAGCTGCTCTGAAGTAGGATACATAAACTGTTCCAGTAATGCGTCCAATAGTTCTAGACTCTGCAACCTCAACAGGATCATCCTGTAGAGCCTCTTCTGATCTGATACTCAAAGACAAGGATTGTTTACTGTTCCTTCGCGTATTTTCAACTTCATCCTGAACTTCTTCGACACATTCCAGATATTTAGTCAAATCCAATCCAGATGCTTGTAATTCGTCAAAGCTACCATCAGCCTGTATAGCACCATTGTTCATAATTATGATACGCTCGACGTTCTTCAGATATTGAAATTGATGCGTCACCAGAATTCTAGTTTTTCCTTTCAAGTATCCATCTATGCACTGTTCAAAGATGTGTTTTCCCACATGAGCATCGACCGCAGAAAGTGGATCATCCAGCAGATATATATCAGCCTCAGCATACACAGCTCGAGCTAAATTGATTCTAGCACGTTGGCCACCACTCAAACTGATACCGCGTTCACTCACAATTGTTTTATCACCATAAGGAAACAAAGTTAGGTCTCTTTTTAGTTGGCAAACATCTATTACATTATCATAACGCACTTTATCCATTGGACGATCGAACAAAATGTTCTGTCGAACTGAGGAGGCAAATAGCCATGGCTCCTGGCTAGAGTATGCGATTTTTCCATAAGTTTCTATAGTTCCACTTTGAAGGGGTAGCTCGCGAAGTAGAACTTGAAGAAGGCTACTCTTGCCCGCTCCTACTTGGCCTATTATAGCTATTAATTGACCAGGTTTTGCAGTTAGATTAATATTAGTCAGTGTATCATCCTTAATATCAGTAATCCACTTGGCTGTAGCGTTTGTAAGAGATATGGCAACTGGTGACGCCAGAAATTGCTTAGGTTTATATTCGTAATCAGTCACAACATGTTTCTCCACCTCTTTGTGAAGCAAGAATTTTTCTAGACGTCGTATTGATATTAGTGACTCAGCAATTTGATTAATACCTACAAAATGATGTTTTTCGTGTTATTTATGCAATAGATAACAGACAGCTGTAATCCTGTTAGACTTTCATATCAACTTCGCAATACTTACTTAGTGGAAATGCAATAGTCATGCTCATACGAAGAACATCATAAAATGCAGTTATCATAAAGACTTTCTCAGCTGTAATATTTTCGCCTTGAAGTATGTAAATCAAAATGGTTACGAAAAGTCCAAGACGTGGGACATACATGTCAAATGACAAAGTAGTACCCTGTACAATAGCATTTTTTTGTATAGCGTTCACTTCTTTTCTGAAATATTTGTAAATATCATATTATTAGTTATCGTGTGTGAAAATTGTCCAATTTAACGTTCTCGATAACGTACCTTCGTGCCTTTGCAACCAGATACGAAAATGGCTTTTCCCATGTATACATCTTGATGACCTGCACCCCATTAATAATTTCATTCATCAATCTCAGTCTCTCGTCCGTGCGTAAGGCACACATCAGTGTTAATTCTGATGTTTTTTTCCCTAGGTATCCTAAGAATGTTATATAAATATATACAGGGTGTCCAACGACTTATTCCCCAACGGGCACTGGCATATTCTCCGTTGAAAATAGAACAAAATGCAATTTGTCCGAATGAAATCGGTTGCAGCGTTCTCGAGAAAATAAATATTAATAATTTAGAAATATCATCATGTCTCGTTAATCATGTCATCATGTACTTGAGTTAATGTGTTCACAGAAGGAAACGCCCGCCACTTTCCTTTTCTACTGCTATTGTTTTCTTTTGGTGATGATTGGAACTTACTTAAATGATGATATTTCTAAATTTTTAATATTTATTTGTTCTATTTTCAACGAAGAATATGCCAGTGCCCGTTGGAGAAAAAGTCGTGGGACACCCTGTATAAGATGAACTTCACCTATGTATAAGAGATACCTATACCCATGTATAAGAGAAACTTCACGTAGCTTAAAAATATTAACAATCCTTCACTCACCTTGTAGAGGTACAAAAATTAACAAAGTACACATGCCAGCTACCGCAGACCATCCAACTTCTTGATATATGAAATATGTTATCACTAAGCTTTGAAGTGGACCTAACCAAATGTAATGGAAAAAATATACGGCATAGTCGAGCCTATTGACATCATTACTGAGAAGATTGACCACCTAAAACACCAATAATGTTTTTTATATAATTTTCTTACATAAATTAAATACCACCAAATTTTGAATTAAACTCCATTCCTCCAAATATCTTACCTGCCCAACCGTAGTCTCGACAAGTGAAATTTTAGACAGCCTCAAAATTTTTCTGTATGCTAACGTACTGCAGGCAATCCTAATCTTCATTCCCATATGCATTATACCTTGTAGGGATGAATGCGATACGAAACAATTGAGCAAACCAAAAGTAGCCATTACTCCGGCCCAAATGTACGCTTCATTTTCAACACCATTCGTGTTCCGGTCTTGGGTAAAGCAGTGTAAGAGTCTCCCAAGTGCCAACGGTTGTGGAATCCTAATAGATATGCACATATATTATTTAGATTATAATACAAGGTTTTGATGTATTGTGTCAAGAAACACATATGTATATTAGACTTTTCTTTTTCGTTCTTTATACTTAATCAGAAGTTCCAGCACAGCCTCCATTACACCATACAGCATAATTTTCGGACCGAATTGTTTCATCAATACACGCAATAAGCTCGGATGAGAGCCATTTTTCTTAGCCGCGCATTGTTTCTCCTCTTCCTCCCAAATCTGTACAATTCTCTCGCCCAACTGGCTACTGGAATGTTCATCGAGTGGTGTATGCAAGTCAGACATTTCCAAGTCTCGCTGGTAGCCCAAAATGAACGTCTTCAGGATCCAACTGTGCATTATGTAAGAAAAACAGCATTGTATTGTGCAAGCTAAACATAACCGAAACACGTCATATGAATAGTAAAAAAAAAAGAGACTTACGCGAAAGTAATAACAGAAATAGGATTTGCATTTTTCCGAGGATTCTCGGGCGTATTTTTCTTTTGATTTTTTTCCATAATGGCAGTACTCCTTTTGTATCTTTTCACTTATTATTCACATACAGATGCTCAGCGATCTTCTCCGCTTCCACATCACTCACTGGCATTATTCTTAAGTTGTCTTATACATGGTCCTTTCTGAAATATATTTGAGTACTGTGATGAGTATTCACGTAAAATTCATTTGCGCTAACTGTTACGATCCGCCTCCAAAGAGACTTATGTCGTCCAACATTTATATTTCTTATCGGGTCTCAGAAATAATCAGTAGATTTCCGTAGAATAAAAATCAAGGTTCAAATTACAAGAAGAAGTATACTTATGAGACGTGTTGCTCGTATAAGATTCAGTTTTCTAACTAAATTACAGGTTAGGGGGTTCGCTGTTATATTTATCGACAATGGTAGGAAGTTCGCCATATAAATACGAAGGATAAGGATCAGGTAGAAAAGTAAAGATTTAAGAAAAGGAAGGCAATGCTTTTTAGGAAGTATTAGATATTAAGAGAAATAACGGTATGGAGTTTATGGGGATGAGTATGAAACAGGAGAGCCAATGATAGCACGTATAACGTAACGTATTATAACGCAATACCGATGCATTAGATTATATAAGAAAAAATGTCGCAGACAGATAACACAGTAAATTTGTTTTACCAGTACCTACTATCTTGTTTATATTGCTTTAAATATATGAGAGTCATCTGCCCGATATGCACATTTATATGAAATAATAATATACTATCCGAACTGCAAAATTAATGGGAGTCAATTAATCACAGGTAGCACATCAAATGTTTTTAAAAGCCACCGTATGGATCGTGCAAAGAAGTGGAGTCCTTAAGTGCGAACGAACCGTCGAACCAAAACGTGCACGTGGACAATTTAAAAAATTAGTATCGTTTGTCAATTTTCAAAAATCTAGATCCGATCGGACATCTGAAGTTACCGCGAGGGTAAACGAATGTTACTGTCTGATAATTCACTGATCGACGCCACCGGTCTATGAAAACTTTCAAATAAATCAAAATACATAGGAAGAGATGGAAAGTTGTGATTAGTAAATTTCGTACAAATTTACTTTTTCCCTCAAACACTTTCTACTTCCACGATAAATAAGAATCGTATCGATTCTATCTTTCGTCGAGTGACACACGTTTGTTTACAAGCACGAATTACCTTGTTTCTCTGAAAACTAAGCAATTGACTTGAGTCACTTCCAATAATTTAAGTGCGATATTGTAAGAATTTGCGATTAAAATACCGAATAAAATACCGAATGATATCACACATCGTTGAATTACTTTTAATTACTTCTCTAATCTTATTAACCCTACAAAAATTACCGTTTTCTAGACTACGTTATCACGTTGAACGCCACCTTTTGTCTTCCCTTTTGTTTAGTCTGCGATATCCGATCTTGCCGATATGCTGGCGGAATTGTATACTGCCAGGCACCGGCGACTGACGCGGTCCAAACGGAAAGTATAGTCTCATTGCCTTAGCGCGCTTAACGTGTTAAAAATATTTCTGACTTGAGAGTAAAATTTACGTAGATTATCCTTCTGGGGTTAAACGAAAAGTACACGGTTTTGCAACATTTACGCCCTTGATAAATCTGATCGACGACTTAAAAAAAATGCTCATTACATCATATTCACCTTTCGAAACCATTCAAATTATGTCTTGCACATTTTTTTTCGGATTTTTACAACCAAAGGATATACATATTTAATTTATCGATTTTTAGTACACCAAGTAAAATACGTTTTCAAGGGGCCTTCTTTTTCAGAATTAAAATGTAAAAGAGTTCTCTACTCTTCATATTTTACTCACAAATCAACTGTTTAAATGGTATAGACGCGCGCAGCTCTCTAAAATCTAAATAATTCGCAACTCCGATCAAATTTGAAATTCAATACCATAACCTTGACAAGTTTAGAATAATCGTTCTCCTATTTAATACTAGTAATAGTATCCGCTTGGCAGTACATGTAATAACTCATGTTTCCTACGATGTTTTATAATTCTTTCAACGTTAGCGTCGTTGAGATGAGTGCGGTTTTCTCAGCGATTACAATCACTATTCTAGCAAATGCACAACTCGGTTAATAACAAGTTTCACTTGCCTTAGCACTATGTTGCGTGAAGGTATATACATACATATCTATATATACACGTGAGCCCCGATATAAGTCGCCCATTGACTCGGACTGAATTTAAATCATATTAAAAGAATGAACGCCTGCGGCTAATACTCTCATTTGTGAGAACACATGTATTGAATTACTAATGGCAACCTGAGTAACAGCCAATTGACATCATTTCAATGCGTACGCATTGAATTTTATATCTGCTCGTTGTATACGATTTATAACAATCCCAGCAAACACAGTATTACATATAACGAACATGTTGGTGTAATTTCCCACTCATTGTTATAAAGTCACTATTTTTAAAATATTTTTTTCCTTAATTATAAAGTCAATATGATAACGGTGTTATATGAGGTTATGTATATGAGTGTGAAAACTTCAACCCAGTTAATACAACGTTTTAAGTAATATATACATATATATTACATGTAAAGTACATGTAAGACATTAATTCCTAATCAAGTACGTAAACGTGATATATCTGAATAGGAATAGCTTACATCTATCTTATGTGTAATATATACGTTACTTAAAATATTATCTTTACTGGGCTGAGTAAAATGAGTAACTCAAGGACTATTTGATAGTAACAGTTGGTTGGAGAATAATTATTGTGCATTTTAAAACTTGAAATTCTATATAAAGACTCTTACAGATTACACATTGCAAGATTGAAGTTCAATCGGCTGAGACAATGTGGATACCCGCAGTGATGAAAAAAAGAGGAAAACAAAGAGAAAACTCAATATGGAATGAGGATGAAAAATACTACAGTGTGATCAAAGATTCCTTGTAGTGGCGTATTAATAACTAGTTACTTATTTGAATAATTTTATAATTTTATAGCTTCGGTTTTATTATTTAAATTTAACAGAAAGTTTAGTTGAATTCAACAATTTCACGCTCATGGTTGGTTAGCTCGAACGGCATAAACCAACTTAGAATGAGCTTAGCTAAGCTGGTATTTAAATTTAAACAGTAAATCTGGGCGTTAAGGTGGTGCTGCTGCCACGTAGAGGTCATGAGCCCTAACGACTATTTGTTGAAAATTAAGCACCTAGAATATTATAATAATTAGTTGCACAAATAATTGCAATATTTTAATAACTTCACCTAATTATAATATCCCGACTTTTGTTACAAAAGCATGATTGTTAATACTCGCTCTAATCAGTTCATATTGCGATTATTAAAGATCGTTGAAAATGTGAAAACGGTGTGAGTCCTGAATTGCAAACCTTTGGCATTTGCGGCGTCTCGTTTGGTTGCCGACATATATCAGCGGAGGTAATGTTTATTTCATGTTTTGATGTGAAGGAAGATGACATAAGTTGTTGAAGAGAATTATAATGTGAGAGTCGAATATGGCAAAGGAAAAGGGAGATTCATTACTCGCAAGAGAAAGCAGTGGGTACAGAATATTGTGGCGGAAAAAAAAAGCTTGATATACGAAGGAGGCCGACGTGCCGATCGTAGCGACTAAGAATATTTACATTCGTATTGTCGACGTAGCAGCTTTGGCAGATCAATATGTTGCAAAGTATGTAATTTAACATTGTCTTTTATGCATATATTATAACGTTCATAATTAAAACTCAATTCGTATAAATCCATGGCCTGATCCATCTGTTAGTTATATCGCATAATGTACTGTGTCAAAGCTTCTACGCCCTGTTCAAAGCGACGCTATTCGAAGTTAGCCGCTCCTTCTCAACTCATTGTCTCAATTAAAATGTGATAATCCCTTGAGATGTTCGGTAACTCTTCTTTAACGAACACGAGATGCTTTTTATATTTCAGCTATCTTTGATCTGAGTATACTAATTATTAACGAACAAATGCCACTGGTTGCTCCGACCATAAGATCCCATATAAAAATGTCAATTTTTAATATTTAATTATTCTCTGAAATGAGTGGTAAAGAGGCGTAAAACTTTTTAACATATAACTGAACATTAAGACTTTCATATATAAAAAAATGAATTTAATTCACGTAGACGGCAGAACTAACTTAATGCTGAATGTTCAAAGGCATCATATACGCACGTTTAACGCTAGAACTGTATACCTTCATAGCCGTCACGGGAGCTGTATACTGGGCTGAAACTGTACTCCACGATCTATCAACCATTCTTATTCGCTTCCAATTGCAGTAAAAAAATGTGCAGGCATATTGTTTATAGTTTACTGCAATTGGATGCATTTAATGTAGGGTAGAATGCATGCAAATCCGTCGAAAAAAATGCTACATTACCTTGTACCTTAAAGCAGGGCCCTTTCTTACCGATTGGTTGAAAATTTTCAACCAAAAATTTACTGGAGTATCCTTATACCCCTAATACAGTTCTAACGTTAATAAATTATGAATTAAAATTAAATACCACTGAAATATTTTTGATAAATTAAACAAAATTCTTATTGTATATTTTGTTTGTTAGTTAAATATTGCGTGTCTTACATACCTAGTACTTAATAATTCTTTCGCCATTTTATTCCCAGTAATTGACATTCAATCGCATTGTCTTATAAACAAAATCACTAACAAGACCATGTGCTTGCGTGCATCGATTACTTGGCACAGAACGATAAAAAAAGGGCACTGGATTCCTTTGGCAGTATATAAATATTTCTCACGTCTCGCACAATCCGTTGTAACGAGGATCATCGAGTCACTACTTCGACGTCCCAATTGTTAGTCGCCACCAAGTCGAACGGGCAATGACTGGTTCTTCGGACTATGGCTTTAATTGACTGATGGAAGAGTGGAACTCAAATCTACTTGCACCGAGTAATGTAACAGTTTATCTAGTTATGGTAGGCGCTTGCGCGACTCTACGACGCTTTTTTTTTCCCTTTCAAGGCGCTTAATATGTTTATAATCTATTTATGTGAGGTCCATATATAACTTTTGTTACGAGTTTCCAATGTATATAATATATATAATATATACTATATATACTTCATTAATGAGAGTTCTAACGGCTTTTTTGATCTTTGTGATCTTTGTCTCGTTGAAATGAATGCTATATATTTGTATTGAGTTGTATTGCATGTCTCAATTGTAAAATGTATTTGAAAAGCTTTTCTTAAATTGTTGTTTTAATATTAGTTGCCAATTGACAATTATTAGTGACACTTGTGAGTCGTTAAATGATGGGCATGGCGTCAAGGTTAGGTCTAAAGAATAGTCTTAAAACCTCTAATATATATCTGTGAAGTTTAATAGGACTATAGACAGAGTCATGAAAAAAAGTTGGATTCAAAGAAGAATATAATGAAAATCACATGCAATATGTAGGGCAGACTATTAAGATTTTGATTAAAAGACGATAAATAGTTCAGAATATAGTAGTTGAATAAATACAATAAAAAATTACAATTATTTTGCTGCAGCATGCTTTTTAATCTATAGTAAATAATTATGCTGGATTTGTTTAATTTACAGGAATATACTACAAAGTGGTTATTCACACCTTTTGCAAAAACGATGTGGAAATTATAGGATGTAGTTTGGTTGTGATAGTTGTATATCAATCAATGTGAGAATGGTATATCGATCAAAATATATAAAATCCTGAAACTGCAAATTTAGTGTTTATTTCATAATAAATGATCATGAAGATTTTTTTACTTTACAGAATTATATGACAATTTAAATAGTTGTATATCATGGATGAACACTGCAAGAACATAATAAGATATAATCAATCCATGGAGTTGTAGCTTCTTATTACATTAAGGTTAGTTGTATGGCTTTCCATTTCATATGATTAACATTTTGAGAGGCATAATTAGTATGTTTCTTACATCATATATATTGTCCTAGCAAATGCAAAAATTATATACTCCGAATCGTTGAAAGCAAGACATTGAGAAGCCTCAGCTCTTATACCACAAACTGGGTAAATAGTGTTAAAAAAGTACTTGTTTTTTTTACTCAAATTACCTGTGATATCTATATAGGTATGAAAATAACAAATTATCAATGGTCATTTTAAACAGTCAACTTATTTTTTATTAAATAATTTTTATGTATCACGAGGATAAATATCAGTCATTTTTCTTTCTAAATGAATAGTTTTTCAAATTATGTTTTATAATGTGAGCTATCCTCTATTACACTTATGTTTAGCAATTTTTTTTAGAGTATTGCTTACAGATAGTTGAATATTTGTAACTGAAGTAGAGTATTCACTCTATTTAGAAGTATTTGATAACAAATATTGTGAAAATTCCAACAGCATATCCTATATTATTTGTACATTAAAACTATGCTATCATTCTAATGTTCTGAAGAAGAAAATAGCTATATAACATTATAATCAAATACAATTACATAATTATAGACGCATATTGTGGATTTACCACGATTAAGGTATCTTACGGATAATCAAATCAATATATTTTTTACTGGAAATAAAAGATTTCTACCAAAGATTTTTCTGACGCAATCATCTGTCAGAAGAAATTATTTAAGTAGAAAATGGGAAGTTTCACTTTAATAGATTATTAGAATGTACATATACAAGGAATTGAAAATATCTGGATATTAGAAATACAGAAAAGATAAGAAGAAAGACATTACTGACATACAATAATTAAGATGACAAAACAGCTTATTTTGTTTTGGCAGAAGAAAGATTGTAAATGCTATAGCAACAAGTGTAAAAATAAATTTTACATAGTTCCTTGCATAAAATATTTTGTGCACAGTTTTTTCAATGTCACATCAGTGCACAGTTGATATCCACTTTATACAAAGTCTTAGATAGTCAAGCATAAGATCTCTACAACTTATAATTTCTAGTTAACGTCAATTTGAGATCACTTTGTGTGTCAATAATATCGACCCTCAATTTCAACTCAAATTGAATTCTCAGTTTGTGGTTGTATCACCCTCAAATTTACTTCAAATTGAGTACAATTTTTTGATGCATTTTAGGGTATATTCCGTATTTGAACCACAGTGTGGTTATTAAATTTCAGCCAATGACATCAATTGATTTTTGTCAGCAGTCGAAATTAATAGATTTAATTGGCTGAAATGAAATAACCGTAACCGTGGTTCAATTACGGAATATGCCCTAGATGCATCCGTAAAACGCGCGACATTTAGTAACGAGCTGTGGAAGATAGATCCAAACCAATCCAAACCATCTCTACTTCAAATCCTTTAAAAAAGTGACCGTTCATATAAACAAAGAGGGAATAAGGTGGCGGCCAATCGCTCTCCTTTTCTAATGTTCCTTTTGGCTACATTCTTTATACTTTCGTACTACGGCTGCCGATTATATGTATAGAGACAGGACTGGCTGCCAACTGTCGCTATCTTTTTCTTGCAGCTGAAAATTTTTCCTATGTCTATTCATAGTCCATACTATGCGTCGATGGCTTGAACGTACTCAACACATGATGCCATAATGCAGTCAATTAAGGACAAGCGTGTGTCCTCAAAGAATGAGCATCAATGAGCATAAAGCAGCAGCTGAGTTGTATAGGCACCTTGGGTATACAGTGAGTTTATAGTTTTGAGATTGTGAACTCGAATTGAGCTTGTTTTGTTATCTGGAGTTGTATGAAGATAACAAGGTAAATTCGGAAACTACTGTACCTGCTTCCGCATAAGCAGTCTACTATACCATACTTTGGTATATACTTACCATTCTAAATTCTAATATGTGTTAAACGAGGTTTCCTCAGTCTCCGTTGTAGTACTTGCATCTAACAATAAGTGCCAGGTGCTTTTCAAATTGCTCTGGAGACAGTCCTTGAATCTTTGGTAAAAAATGCCGTAGTGTGATTAGTTACTTACAATTAGTCAGCCTCAGCCAGCCTTCTGCGTCTACTCACATTTCAAATCAAGAAGTCATTCTTGAAGTTGGATGCCGAGAATATTGAGAATAATAAGGCGATACTTTGATAAGACTCGATAACTAGATACTGTACTGAGGGAATTTCACTCTCTTATTATTCGATTCTTAATCTGCTTTCCATTTATACTATTGTATACTAATTAACTTGAACATGCGATATATTTTAACTTTTCTAAACTTCATTAACTTTACGTCACAATTTTCGCCCAAACCAATTTAGCTGTTTTTAGCAAGAAGTGAATCTTATTCAGTTTATCGTGCGACACTTTCGAAACTTTACTTGCTTTGAAAATCACGGAAAACTCGAATATTCAACCAATAGTGCTACTCAAGCAAGGTGCTCAATGTACCAAACTGAAACTGATTTAAATTAACATTTTCTCTTGATCAATTTAGTCAATGACTTTGTGCAGCTTTACATTAAAAGCTCATATTATTTGAGCGTTTAAAGACATGATATGCAGGGTAAGTCAGCTAACGTTTGCACCTCAAATATCTTTATTGTTTCTATAGATACGTAAAATATGGTAAGGACAAAGTTGAATGGTACAATAGGGCTGACATGATGCCAAAAAAAAAATTTGGTTTCCATGTCATTTTTTAGAGAACACTGCTGCGTTAGTAGAAATTAATACTGTAACGTATGCCCTTCTCGGACCTATGCCTAACAGCTCATCCCGTCACCTGGGTGGCCCCAGTGCCATGCTTCGCTAAATCCTGGGCACCAGCTGCCTCATAGTACCAGCTCGATTCCTGGAGCCTTTCAATTTCTAATACGCAGCATGTCAACACCAAAAACCCTCTCGACCGGCCGTTCTTGCCAGCTCCTGTCCTGAAATGTTAGAAGGGAACGTGGGGGCGGGAAAACTTCAAATTCTACCCGTAGCGGTCGGGCTTTAAAGGAACGACACAGTGGCTATTTTGCATAATCTGGCGATATATTACGAATAAATCGAATGTACAGTCTAACACAAATACCGCGCGCGACTCTATGCAATTCTAAACGAAACGCAGTCGCCGACGTCGTCCTGACTCTTCGGAGCTCTTCTTGAATCTTCTATCGCGAGGGTACGTGACCGGCCTTGGCCTTCCACACGCTGTCCCATGATGCACCGGCAGGTATGTACGTATGTACAATGTACATACACTGCACCCTCTTCGGGCGGTTTCGATCTCTCCCAAGTCCAACCGATCTCGAGAGCTTGGGCCGGTTTCACTCCCCGGCTTCCCCTCGCAGTGATTCTTCGTCCTTGTGGGCATCATATCGGCGGCACGACTCTCCGTCCCCCTATGATTCTTATGGAACAGGTCGTCCTGCGAACGCCACGTTACAATACATAAAAGAGTAGTGTGTTCGTTTGAATGTTCAAAACCAAAATGTTCATAAATGGAAATATTATTTTATGGCTTTAAGGGATATGCAGACCGATGATAAACGATCGTATTAGAAAAAGATTGCGAGAATTAAATAACATACAGGGTGTCCCGGAACTAAATGCAAAAATTGAAGGGGGTATTAGAAGGGGTTGAACTGTGTAAATTGTCCTATGGAACATGTGATCTCCAAAGCAGCATTCGCGAGATATGGACGGTTAGAGTCGCGCTAGGCGCCGGCATATAGGCAACCAACTACACACCGGACATCGGTTAGCAGCTGATTGATAAGCGTGTTCCACTGCTGATGCGAATCGTAACGCTGTACAATTTAAGGATTTCAAAGGAAAGTATCAATATAAAATTTTATTACAAAAACCTGTCGTTACTACGGGTGCTCGAAGTTACGGTTGCCTACATGCCGGCGCCTAGCGCGACTTTTTAACCGTTCGTATCTTGCGAATGTTGCTTCCGAGACCACATGTTCCATAAGTCACTCAGCTCGACTCCCTCTATTACCCCTCTAAAGTTTTGAATTTAGTTCTGGGACACCCTGTATACTCGGGTAATTTTTAATAATTTTTTCCTTACATAAAAATATAACAGCTAAAGTCCCCATTGTATATTTATCCATTTACAACATCTGTTTAGTTTCCAAGCAGTTGCATGCAAAGCAGACAATGCATTTGCATTGTCTCTGATTTCTGGTTGACCAACCAGAATGACAAACGAACTTCACAGCATGCATAGGATTCAATAATTGAATAAGAAAATTGATTTATGTTCTGGAAATACCATTGAGCTGCGCGTTAGACTACTTGTCAAACATGACCAAACCTAAAGTTGACGTCGAAGCTAAACGAAGTTATTACCATCAGTTTCAATTCAACCTTCGAGCCTAAACCATTATATACCTTTGCGATACCAGTGAAAAAGTTTAGAAAATATTTATAATCCGATAAAGCAAAAATATCAAAATCTTTATAAAATTCAAAAGTTAAATATTTAAAATGGATATATCAGGAGCTGCTGATATATTAACTTGGAACAAATGGGTGTTTTCGTTTTTGGGTATCTGGCCATTAGATGATAGCAATAAACTATTTTTATTTCATTACATATATTTTATGATTCACACATGTTTGGAGTATGTCGAACTGTTTAAGTATTTAAACAATTTAGAATATGTAGTCGCAAATCTGACTGAGAATTTAGTGATCACTCTTACCTTTTTAAAGATTAGTGCTTACAGAATTAATAAAAATGAATTACGTAAAATGTCAAATGACATAAATGACGACTTTAAAGAAGAGTCTTATAAGGATAGTGAAGAGAAAGCATTATTTTTGGAATACAATGCAATAGCTCAAAAATTTATGAAAGTTGGGATCCCGATAACATTAATTGCGGCAGTACTGTATTATTTGAGACCTTTAACTGGACATGTAATCGTGGATACATCACGTAAGAGATTATGCAATTGAGAAAAATAATTTTTTGTAATTATTTATTGTTTTCATCGTGCCGTCATTTCCAAAGATTTAGGAAATACATCACACAGTTATATTATGCCGTATCGCATTACATTATTCTTTGAAATTACAAATTTTCAAATGTACGTCTTCATGTACGCTTTTGAAATTCTAAACGTCCCAATCATAGCCTTTGGATTTATTGGAACTGATTGTTTATTAATTACGTTGGTATTACACTTGTGCGGTCAATTAGCTGTTTTGTCACACCAAGTGCGAAATTTAACAATGAATCCGCAAAATTTTCAAAATGAATTCCGAGTGATAGTTATGAAGCATCTTCGACTCATAAGGTGACTATATTTTTTCTTATGTCATACATTATGATTATTGTTGCGCAATATATTTGAATTTTTATGTGTACATTGCAGAATTTCGAAAAGTTTAGATACGGCATTCAATCAGATTTTAATTCAACAACTCGTCGGAATGAGTTTGCTTTTATGTTTGGCTGGATACAATCTTATAGCGGTAAATTACATTAGAGTATTAAAATTAAATATATTTAAACATTTTTCGATAATATATAATATCTACAGTGGAGAATAGAATGTTTGCATTTCTTTGAAATGCGTTGTTTCAGATGTCTGATAGTGGACAAAATGTGCATCTAATAACGTTTATCTTCTATGCCTGTTCGGTATCCATGTTACTCTTTGCTTATTGTTTAATCGGGGAATATCTCATTAACGAAGTAATTTCATCAGTCAGTTATTTTTTGCAGCAATTTTTGACGTTACTCCTATTAGTCGTAAGTTCTCAATACTTTGTTTTAGAGCACAAAGATCCAAGATGCTTTTTACAATTCTACATGGTACAACAGGCCACCTTATCAGCTGGAACTATTTTTGATTTGTATGGTATTTGTTCAACGTCCGCTGGTACTAACTGCTGGAAAAATCTATTCATTGTCTTTAAGTACTTTTGCGCGTGTAAGTAACAAATTTATCTTAACACTAAATTTACAGTCATGATTATCAAAGTCAACATCTATTGTTAAAAATTATATTTATGATTTCTGTAACTTTAACTCCTAAATTCCACACCTTGGTCACGCACCTTTAAATTCCATACTGACTGTTGCGAATTGATAATTTGCACCTGTGTGGAGTTCAAGGGCTGAACGTAAAATTTGAAACCCGTAAAATTTACGAATTCCGTAAATCTATTGTTACAAAAAATATCGGGATTTCATTGTATTAACAAATTTTTATTATATCTTATTTTTGTCTTGTATTTTCAGGTAGCGAAAAACTCGATGGCATATTTGTCAGTGCTACGAAAATTTGTGTAAAATAATATTATCATTTATCAATATATAATTTCATAGATCATACATATTTCAAAAATATATCATTCAACATTATAAGAATCGTTTCTCGTCAGTGTGCAACTTCGATCCAAGAAATTGAAAAAAACCAGGATCACATTCAAGTACCTATTATCAATTTATCATCCATATGATATATTTATGAAAAATTCACGATTCTGACCACTGTCTGGAGGCCTCATCAGTTAGTCAAATTGGACGAGAACTTTTTGTAGATTATTCATTTATTGAACAGAAAAAAATATGATCAGGTCTTGGGGTGATCGATCGAATCACGTGTCTTTCACTAAGCCAATCAAAATACATACAAGGAAGTTACATTCCGCGTTTACTCATTTCTTACTAACACAAACACTTGGTGTTACTTTGATAATGTGTATGGCTGGATATAATATTCTTATGGTAATAATTTATTTTTATTCATTTATTATATGCACTTGATAACAAAAAAATAACGTTCATATAACGACTTTGATATACGGATGTAACATGTTGCTATACGCAATTTATTTCAGAATTATAGCAGAAGGCAAAGTGGTAAATTAGTGATGTTTATATTTTATGCTCTTACTATCATTGTACAGCTTCTTGGTTATTGTTTCATCGGAGAGTGTCTTATCAGTGAGGTAAATTGTCGAACCTTCGTTAGAGAAATTTTGATAATGAATTATTGCACGTTTGATTAAATTATTTTATCAAGAGCAAAAAGTTGTATTATGCATTTTACAATTGTCGTTGGTACATTCTGCCACCGATGGATGTTAAATTCATAATATTTTGTATGTTACGATCACAAACACCACTCACACTAAATGCTACAGGACCCTGTACACATTCCTTCGAAAGCTTCACGAGCGTAAGTTTCGTAATACATATAAATTGTGATTGATTTATTTTTTTTTTATTGTTGACTAATTCATAAATGTAATTTATATTTTGCAGGTGATGAAAATGTCAATGAGTTACATGTCGATACTACGAAATTTGTTGATACGATCAGTATAATTAATATGACCGTAGCTTACGAATGAAGTCACTGCATATTACAAAGCTACTGTGACTGTGAAGAATGCCAATAAAAAAACGTAAATTCGGTAAAAAATGGTATTGGCTAAGATGGCATACGGTATAAATAAACTACATAAATGAGACGCGGTGTTCTATCTAAGGTTAAACCCCGGCCCAAGATTGATAGACTAATATTATGAAACTTTAATGTTAGTCGAATCCAAATTCATACCTAGAAAGTCAATATGAGTATTAGAACGTTTAAATACATTGTGATGTGATTTTGTCGATTCATGCTTTCTGGTTCCCTTCGAGTTGCCACCCTGCTAAGCAATTATGCTCTCGGATAGATTCGCACAGTTATGCCAATGCTCTTGGGATGTTTTGTTTTGTTGAGTTTAGGTCGAAGTGTTCGAAGTTGCTGTGGAGACGGTTCAATCTCAACTCCCAGGTTATACTGGTTCATCAATTCTTGGTGAAACAAGAATTTACTGCCACCCACCTGGCATGTGGATGCATGGACGAAGGGTGAACGACCGAAGGTGGCGAAGGTTAGCTATCGGATATGTGATATCTGTATCAAGTTTCGAAAATACGTCACAAGATGCTTTTACCTTTGTCGAAAAATCCATTCTTTCTATTTAAATCATAGACATATAGGAATAAATCACGCAAGAGATAGGTTGGCGCTTAACTGGCTGCGAGAGCGGGATAAAAAGAGAACGCAACATAGGAGGTCCTTCTGTCCTCGTTTAATCACAATGGCCACAATAACTTAAAAATTGCATCACTCTGCGTTCAGTGCGTCTATTATGTATAGTTGGAATTCGCGCATGCGCGGTTAGATAAAGATAGAGACGGACCACAAGCCGTTGTCTCTTTTTGTTGCACTATCGCTTTCTCCGCCCAGTTCCATGGTTTATTCTTATATGTCTATGATTTAGGGGGTAGACATGAAAGGCTGCATATGGAAATTACAAAAATTCTAAAAAATATCATTAAAGTTCAACTGGGCAATGCCACTCCGAGGGGTCAATTCGGTTCAACGAGTAAAGAAACTCAGAGTCGCTGAAAGGTATATCATTATTAATGTTACAGTGCATGTACACCTGTCAAGTTTCCAATAAGGCTGCCTGGTCTCAGACAACCTCTCATTACTTAGTAACATTGCCGCTATAGGCGGTTCTTTTACTGGATTTATTACATGGGTCGTCCCTTTTGAGTAGGGGTATCTATCTAAGCCAATCAGAATACGGGTATAGTTTACTTCGAGGGTCGTAGGAGACTTTCCCTTGAGTCTTCAACGATCCTGCAAGTGGATAGAATCTTAGCTGTGACACAAGTGCATGAACCGTAAAATGTAGCACCTGAAATTAAATCTTTCTAAAATTTCACTTAAGCAGTAACGTATAAATTTGGCATTGTGTTTTCGGTTGCGGTTCGTTATCAATACATCAACTGTTTATCTTAACTCTGGCAATCGTAAAGAACATTTTAAGTTGCCAACTTTACAATCAAGTAGTTTCGAGTGATTTCGAAAGTTCGTGAATTCAGCATGGATATGCTAGATGCTATTAAAGTGTTAACGTGGAACAAGTGGGTGCTGGAATTTTTAGGAATTTGGCCCTTTAACGAAAGTCATCTTATTTTTTCCTTCTTTTTCTTTCTTATATCAAGTGCTACTTGCTTAGTTTACGCGGATTTAATTCATCGTTTCTCGGATTTTAAATATATAATTGAAAATTTAACAGAAAGCATAGTCATGACGCTGGTGTGTTGTAAAATTGGCCTGTTCAGATTGAACAGGAGGATACTCAACGAAATAGTGCTCGATATTAAGGATGATTTTGTAAAAGACTTATATGATACAGAGGAGCGGAAATCTATTTTTTTATTCTACAACAAATTGTCCAAGACGTTCGTGAAATTCTCAATAGGAATAACTACCTTTTCAACGATACTTTACTACGCCCAACCATTAATTGACCATGTAATGTCATACAGAAATTGTACGAATCATTGATTTAGTACTGGGATCAATTTCTTTAACATTTGCTTCATTGATTATTTTAATTAGTCACAGGAAATTCATCAGCTGCTTACGTTCTGCCTGTTCACATCCGCATATTCTTCAACATTACGGAATTGCCATTGTATTATACTATATACGCTTACGAAGGAATACTCGTTCCTATAGTCGCATGTGGATATGCCGGCACGGATTGTCTATTGGTGACACTGACGCTACATTTGTGTGGACAGATGTCCGTCTTAGCGAATCAAGTGGAAAATGTTGTCGGGGACTTGCCTAGTTTTCCTAAACAAATAAGATACTTGGTCATCAGGCATTCTCGAATAATAAGGTAAATTATCATATCAATAATTAACATATCATTAATTAACATATCATTAATTAACATATCATATCATTAATGTACCATATACGGACATATTTCAGTCTCTCGGTAAAGTTACGTACCGCGTTTGCTTACTTTCTGCTCGTACAATTAGTGGGCGCAACTTTAGTAGTATGTTTGGCTATTTATAATATTCTGACGGTAATATTTCAGCATTTTTTGTTTAGAGAGTAGTTAGTTTTGATGTTCAGAAGCGAAGTAATAATTTTCATCTAAACAGCCGATTGTGAAAATTCTAACAAATATTTCACATTTCAGAATTATGCCACAGGTCTCATTGCTCAATTATTAACCTCTATCTTCTATGGTTTTACTGTGACTGTGCAGCTTCTCGGTTATTCTTTTATCGGAGAACGCCTTATGACTGAGGTGATTTTCCAAAAATAATTTTGATCCATTGCCTTTTAATAAATCGAAAAATTCAAAGGTATTTATACATTTTTTATTTTTATTCAGAGCTTAAAGTTGAGCGATGCATTTTACAATTGCAAATGGTACGTTTTGTCACCGATGTACGTCAATCTTATTTCATTTTGTATACTACGCGCGCAAGTGCCACTTGTATTAACAGCTGCAGACTTTTATACATTTTCCCTGCAAAGTTTCACGGATGTGAGTTTGAAAATGCGAACAACTTTGAATTGAAGCACTTTGGAGCCCC